TTGATTAACATGTAACATAACATAAATGTTAATGGTTCCGCCGTGGTTATCAGACGATGCATAATTACTAGCACCAAATGAATGAATTTTGTACCTAAATTTATATCACAAATGAACCATATACATGTATATCGGACATAGATTTTAAACAAAATTATATAACATGTTTTTGACCAAATCGCCATTCTCCCAAATGAGCCTTGCATAAACCAGAAAATTCAAGTGGTCCGACGGACCAGTGGGTTTTAAAATTAGGTGGTCCTTGCCAAACTCAAGTGGTCTCGGACTAACGGACCACCGCTAATGTCGAGGCCTGCTAATGTGATCAAAAATATTTTAGATTTTGAAATATTTATATGAATTATCCCGGGACAACCAATATTCAATCAGTTAAGCTGTTTTTAGCCAATAATAAATGGAAGGGGAAATTATACTTTAAATTTATTTTAGCTATTAATGCATCTATTAACACTTTTTCATTTTCAGGTTGGTACATTTTCAACAAGTTTGATCTTTCTTAGAAATTCAATAAAAACAATATGACCCACTCTGGTTACTCCCAGGAAATATTCTAACCTAAATTTTCAACAGCAGGGTAATCACCATGGAAAATTTGTTAAAAAGATAAAAGAGGGCCACTAAAAATGTAGAAAACTTCACAATAGTCTATTCAACAATTTTCAAACAGTTTTTCAAGATTTTAAAAAACTTATACTAAATGTTATAACATATGTACAGCACCAATGCATTGGTATGACTACTGTTATGTGTTTTTAAAAAGCAGTTAAAGTGTCACTTCTTAGTACGCTATTTGGGGTGCAAAAATGATAAATGCATCCAATCTTTACAGCCATTTTTCCTTCCCCACTTTAAAATATTAGCAAATATGGAAACTTGTCTAGATCTGCCAGCTGGTATCGCTTACAAAAACAATTATTCTACAATCATCACATGAAAAAAAATTGATAACAATATAAGATTTTATTAATAAGGGACCCCCGTGTAAAGTCTGATGAATATTTAGTGGTACATCATATAAATAAATTTTTAAAAACCCCTTTGGGACTGGTAAATGGAAAAATCTTTTCCCAAACTTTATAAAAAATTTAACTGCTTAAAAATTTTTTTATTACTTTTTTAAACAAACTTTTTGATATAGTGAAAGTGGAAAATTTTTTAATTGTGTCATTTAAAAAACAACAGTTTTTATTTTTTTCTGAAAAATCGCAATTAAGTGTGTTTCTAAAATTTTAAAGTTTAAAAGGACTTTATGCATTTGTCGCTGACCATCTGCCACAAAATTTAAGGTGTTTAATTTATTTTGGGATAAAAATTGTTGTTGGGGTATGCAAGTGTTTTTTTGTGATTTAAATTTTGCAATAAATTACGGGTATTGGGCCCTGTGTATTTTATATAAAAGGGGGGAAAAAAATTCCCAAATGCAAAGGGGAATTTTAATGCCCCGTTCAATGCTTAACAGTTATCAGTTATAGTCTATGACATTTTATAAGTGAGACAGCTTTCAGGTAAAAAAAACTCACTTAATTTTCTTAGATTTTATATATGTACAATTAAGGCCTAAAAAAAAATTGTTTTGTTAGGGTAACATGCTCTCAAGGAATAGGTAGGGTAGGTCGGATTTTTTTTTTTTTTTTTTTATTCAAGAATTTCAAGGACCGGGACATCATACAAATTGTCCTCCTTTAACACCGTCCATGGACCCTTTTCGGATGTAGATATGGAAATTTCTGACATCCCTCCCGGGTGGCACAAATACATCCCTTCTATGTTTTCAAAAGACATTTTAGGTGTAACAATCTTAAACTGTCGGCGTTCTGCCGTTTGGTGAAGATCACACGCCGTTTTACAAATATTGACGATGTGATCCGCCATTTTGTAACTAAGAGCGGCGATAAACCTGTACCGTACCGTACCTCAATAATACGGTATTTTCATCGATTTTTAGCTCACCTGTCACAAAGTGACAGGGTGAGCTTTTGTGATCGCTTTTCGTCCGGCGTCCGTCCGTCCGTAAACTTTTGCTTTAAATGACATCTCCTCATAAACCACTGAGCCAATTTCATCCAAACTTCACAGGAATGTTCCTTTGGTGGTCACCTTTAAAAATTGTTCAAAGAATTTAATTCCATGCAGAACTCTGGTTGCCATGGCAACCGAAAGAAAAAACTTTAAATATCTTCTTTAAAAAAACCATAAGAGCTAGAGCTTAGATATTTGCATGAAACATCTTCTAGTGAGTGTCTACCAAGTTTGTTCAAATAAAAAAGCCCTGGGGTCAAAATTGGCCCCACCCCTGGGGTTCATTGATTTTCCCAGTATATGCATATAGTAAAAAACTTAAAAAATCTTCTTTTAAATAACCGTAAGAGCTAGAGCTTAGATATTTGGCATGAAACATCTTCTAGTGAATGTCTACCAAGTTTGTTCAAATAAAAGCCCTGGGGTCAAAATTGGCCCCGACCCAGGGGGTCATTGATTTTCCCTATATGCATATAGTAAAAACTTAAAAAATCTTCTTTTAAAGAACCCAAAGAGCTAGAGCTAAGATATAAAGCATGAAACATCTTCTAGTGAATGTTACCAAGTTTGTTCAAATTAAAGCCCTGGGGTCAAAATTGGCCCCGCCCCGGGGGTCATTTGATTTTCCCTATATGCATATATGTAAAAACTTAAAAAATCTTCTTTTAAAGAACCATAAGAGCTAGAGCTTAGATATTTGGCATGAAAACATCTTCTAGTGAATGTTACCAAGTTTGTTCAAATAAAAGCCCTGGGGTCAAAAATTGACCCCGCCCCAGGGGGTCATAGATTTACCCTATATGCATATAGTAAAAACTTAAAAAATCTTCTTTTAAAGAACCCAAAGAGCTAGAGCTAAGATATTAAGCATGAAACATCTTCTAGTGAGTGTCTACCAAGTTTGTTCAAATTAAAGCCCTGGGGTCAAAATTGACCCCGCCCCGGGGGGTCATTGATTTTCCCTATATGCATATGGTAAAAACTTAAAAAATCTTCTTTTAAAGAACCATAAGAGCTAGAGCTTAGATATTTGGCATGAAACATCTTCTAGTGAATGTCTACCAAGTTTGTTCAAATAAAAGCCCTGGGGTCAAAATTGACCCTGCCCCAGGGGGTCATAGATTTTTCCCTATATGCATATAGTAAAAACTTAAAAAATCTTCTTTTAAAGAACCCAAAGAGCTAAGCTAAATATTTTAGCATGAAACATCTTCTAATGAGTGTCTACCAAGTTTGTTCAAATAAAAGCTCTGGGGTCAAAATTGGCCCCGCCCCAGGGGGTCATTGATTTTCCCTATATGCATATAGTAAAAACTTAAAAAATCTTCTTTTAAAGAACTCAAAGAGCTAGAGCTAAGATATTTAGCATGAAACATGTTCTAATGGGATGTCTACCAAGTATGTTCAAATAAAAGCCCTGGGGGTCAAAACTGGCCCCGCCTGGGGGGGGGGGTCATTGATTTTCCTTATATGTGTATAGCAAAAACTTAAAAATCTTCTTTGGAAAAAAACCCAAATAGCTAGAGTTTAGATATTAAGCATGAAACATCTTTAAGTAAATATCTACAAAGTTTGTTAAAATAAACGCCCGGGGGTCAAAACTGGCCCTGCCCCCAGGGGTGACATTGTTTTTAACTACTATATGTGTATAGTAAAAACTTTAAAAATCTTCTTTTAAAAATGCCAATGAACTAGAACTTTAGATGTTTAGCATGAAACATCTTCTTATGGGTGTCTACCAAGTCTGTTCAAATAAACAAATAAAAGCCCTTGGGTAAAAATTGGCCCGGGGGTGGGGGGCTTATATACAGGTGAGCGACCTCAGGGCCATCATGGCCCTCTTGTTTTTATATGCCCGAAAGAATTTCGGGCATATTATGTTATACCCCCTGGCGTCCGTCTGTCCGTCCGTCCGTCCGTCCGTCCGTTAGCAATTTGGTTTCCGGAGCATAACTTAAGTTCCATTTGGCCCACAGTGTTCAAACTTCATAGGATGATTGTCCATATTGGGTAGAAGACCCCTATTGATTTTGGGGTCACAAGGTCAAAGGTCAAGGTCACTATACCTTAAAACTGAAAACAGTTTCCGGAACATAACTTAAGTTCCATTTGGCCCACAGTGTTCAAACTTCACAGGATGATTGTCCATATTGGGTAGAAGACCCCTATTGATTTTGGGGTCACAATGTCAAAGGTCAAGGTCACTATGACCTTAAAAATGAAAACAGTTTCCGGAGCATAACTTAAGTTCCATTTGGCCCACAGTGTTCAAACTTCATAGGATGATTGTCCATATTGGGTTGAAGACCCTATTGATTTTGGGGTCACAAGGTCAAAGGTCAAGGTCACTATTACTTAGAAATTGAAAACAGTGTCTTTAGCATAACTTAAGTTCAATTTGGCCCACAGTATTCAAACTTCATAGGATGATTGTCCATATAAGGTAGAAGACTCCTATTGATTTTGGGGTCACAAGGTCAAAAGTCAAGGTCACTATGACCTTAAAACTGAAAACAGTTGTTGGAACATAACTTAAGTTTGATTTGGCCCACTGTGTTTAAACTTCATAGTATGTTTGTCCATATTGGGTAGAAGACCCGTATTGATTTTCGGGTCACAAGGTCAAAGGTCAAGGTCACTATTACCTTAGAAATGAAAACAGTTTCCGGGGCATAACATAAGATCCATTTGGACCACGATATTGAAACTTCAAAGGATGATTGTTTTGGGAAGGAGTTAATACTTTATTTAACTCCCATGCCTTACAAATTCTTCATCTTTACTAAAAAAAAAAAATCACTTTCGGGCATATAATGCTCCGCCTAGCGGTGCTCTTGTTTTTTTTTTGTTGTTTTTTTTTATACGAAAAAAAACGTAGGGTCGGCGTATATTATTAGGTAGGGTCCCGAACAAAACAATTTTTTTTTAGGCCTAAGATATTCTTGTATATTTGCAGAATGTGAAGCAGAAAAGTCTATCTATTTGCAGCCAGCATCAGCCATAAACATATGAAAAATGTTCAAGTTAGAATCATATATCACTCCTTTACTGATGGGGTACTTAGACAAATATGTCAAACTACGCCCAGAGGATTTCCAGCTCTCATTATGGGGAGGTGATGCTGTATTATACAACCTTGACCTCCGTCTTGACCTGATCGAGAAGGCAATACAGCTGCCCATAGTTTTCCAGAGCGGTCACATACATGAGCTACGACTTCATGTCCCCTGGACGAAGCTAGGATCTGATCCTGTTGTAGTAACCATTAACACAATAGAGTGCATCTTAAAAGTGAGAGATACAGCATATAAAGACAAGTCACGAGCATCATCAGAAACTCCCGGAAAATACAGTCAGAAACAAAAAGCACGTAAACAAGAAAGTGTTTCTCCCTCCAGGTAAAATTATATTATCTATAAAAATAAATTCATTAAGAACAGCAAGCTATATCTATAACCCCTTTGCTGCTTTACAATTTTGTCTAAGCATCCAGCAATTGTTTAGGTTTGATTAAGTTGTTCACCTATGATTTTTAACTGCTATATATGGAAACTTTATATTTGCATACACCTTTAAAAGTTCTTCCTACTACATCCATTTGCAGGGGAGAAGGTTACTGGTATTAAACTCTAAATATCAGTTAAGATATATATCTATAAACACTGTATTAATTTTTAGTGTACAAGCAAAATTTTTAATTATCATTATCAACAAAGAATACTAGTTGATGGAATTGGATTGATTGCTAAATAAGCTTATGAAAGTGTTCTTTTACCCTTTATTCATTTTTTGTCAGTTAAGCTTTATGCTAAATATAGATCTATACATGTATTTTAATTATTTCAGGCTATCTGCAGAGTTTGATGAACAAGATTGTTAACAATGTTAGCATTATTGTTAATAACCTGATTTTAAAGTTTGTCGAGGATGACATAGTTCTTTCCCTCAATGTGAAGTCTGCCGAATGTTACAGTGTAGATAAAGATTGGAATAGATCTTTCATCGAGCTTTCAGCACCAGACTTTGTATTGAGACGGACTGTAAATTTCTGTGATGTAACAGTCTGTTTAGATAAAAGAGATGCTAGTGGAAAGATTGAAAACTATCAAGATCCAGTGGTGTGTATAGATTCTAGATTTGTATTAACTTTGGAATTAGACAATGACTCTTGCAGTTTTGATACAGCAGGACTTGTTAGAATTTAGGTCAAGTCTGACATGAGTCCAACCTTTTGTCAGCTTAATGTTTTTTATCTATAAAGTCCTTTGAACTGTATTTTATGTCTCTGGAATTTACAATGGTTATTTATTAATTCAAAGAGTGGAGAGTCCATGATAATACTTCATAAAAACAATGTTTTTCTTGGCATTTGCACTAGATTATTGAAATAATTTCTTATGAATATTAACAAAATATTCGCAAGGATTTGGACATTGTTGAATATTTTGCTTGACTATTTGAAGAATAGGGAGAGCTATTGTACTCTACCCAAGATCCATAACTCTAACATAGATTTTGACATAATTATGACCCTTTTTGAATTTATAGAATTCTGCATTATTCAAGCAAGGGGAATAGTCCAGCACTCTGTCCTTCTGACAGCTCTTGTTAATTCAGTTGGCATTTACTGAATAATGATTTTGTCTTGTCAAATATTTTGTCACTCCTAAAATGTTTCATTGGTTTAAGGGAAGGCATCTTATGGTTTCTTAATTTGATATATTTTCTGTTGTAAATTTCATTTTTGTGTATGTAATCTCTCACAATATATTTTGTTTTTGTTTCTAGGTCTATAGATGTAGCATTGCCAGTAGATTGTATACAAAATATGAAAACATGCACTCCAAATACCCACTGGAGACCAAATTGAATGTGTACTGTGAACGGCTGGACCTTTCGCTAACAGATACACAACTTCCAATGTTGATACGTCTCATTGAACTCTGTCTGGCATTGTATTACGGGACCATGGAGTTTAAAATTGAGTCAAATACTGATGAACCAGATCAGCAAAGTGTTGATAGGGAATCAAAGACAGGTGAAAATAATATTAACCAAATATATTTTTGCAATACTTTGTCTTATATTGTCTATATTTACATCATAGAATTGGATTATCTATTTACATAAAGCAAGATTGATATTGAAGAATTTGTAAATGTCTATTAGTATCTATTGACATTGTTTATTTTGACATTCTTGTTTCATTGTGTAAAACATGTTTCATGTTTATACTACTAGTATTCAGTTTCTGAAAAGTTTATTGAAATAAAATGTCTGTCTTAAGATTGACCTTAAGGTATAAACAGTTTCATTAGAAATATTTCATTCATGTTCCAAATGTTTTAAAAATAAAATCAGAGCAATTAAATTTCATTAAAACAGGCCATCATTTAATCTATGATGAATATTTATCATTACAGAAAGTTCTGTGGGTGAGCCGCCACCTGCCATGGATGAAGCAGAACAACAACAAGGCTGGGCATCATGGGCGTGGTCATATGTGCCTCAGATTTTACCTGATGAGGAACTAGATGACGCCTTTCCACAGCATTCAAAAAAGCCACCCCCATTGATCTTTACCCTGGGCATGTATGCCTATAAAATGACAGTGAAATTTAAGGTGATTTGAGTACTTCTAACATACTTACTGTATCTTGCAATGGAATGGCATAAAAATGAAGTTTTGTTTCTTTGTTAATGTCTTAAAATCATGTGAATATTTCAGACATTAAGTTTCAACTCTTATATCTTTTAATAACTTTAATTTGTGTTGATTCACTTGAAACTTTTATTTTTCCTTCCTAATCAGTTGACAGAGTATTTAAAAGAGAAAGCACACTATGGACCAAGAAAGGTTGTATTTAAGCCATTCCTTTACCTGGAAAGTGACGGTATTTCCATGGAGATGTTAATGCAAGGCCTCACATTCTTTGACATACAGTTTGGTGTGACCAGTCTGGCTATCTACTCACAGGGACCGTGTATATGTGGGGCAGAGGGAGAGGAAAACTCCAGGGTTTGTATTTCAATTTTACTTTGTAAAACAGAACAGAACAGATTTTATTATACAATATGACTTGAACATAACAGTTCCTCGTCATTACACAAATATACAGCATACATTAAATATAGCAAGAGTGAAAATACAAACATACAAATTTAACATTTGGTCAGTTTTATATACATTATTCATATTTTTCTTTCTGATACTAAATGATTTTATTACAATATATTGCTAATTTACTCAAAGTATTTGTATGACATGCATTTAACAGATCAATAAATGTAACATACTAAGATGCCTATAGTAATAACATGGTATCTACAATTTTCTGATTTTCAAGTCTGATTCAGGGGCAGATAACTCAAAAACGAGAACGGTGACCCCAATTTTTTTTAGCTTAAAATGTTTCTGTTATCATATTCTAACAACATGCCAAGTTTAAAGAAATTCTATAGAACAGTTTTAATTTTGCCTATATGTCTATACGAAAACTCCTGAAAACGTCTTTTTAGTCAAACATACAATACAATACATAATTGAAGTTCCAAAATACATTATTTACAAGCTTTCCTCACAAAAATTTATTTAATTAATTATTCAAAGTATCTATAACTATTGGAAAACGTAAATTTGATTATTATTATTATTATAATAATGAAAGGACATTTGACAGGACATTGTTGTCAAGTGACTGAATGTCTGAAGTACTGTTTCCTTGTGAAACAGAAAATGAAAATTAATCTTTTTAACGATGATGCAATAGTTCAGAATTTATATAATCTTTATCATTTATTATAATCTAAGGATGTAAATATATTTTTCAGAACAATGTGCTGCTGTCAGGGGGAGACAACCTTGTTAATAAGACTACAACAAATTATATCTGTCAGTCTTTGTTTGACCAACAGTGTCCGGAAAACCTGGGCATACCTATATCTAAAATACTGGACTTTGATGAACATAGACAGGTATGTTCACAGTTGTAATAGTTGACATCAACTTTATTTATAATGATGAAGTATTCAATGTTAGTGCTCACCAATTTTTTTAAGCCAATCACCGACGAGGATTTTTCAAATTTTCAGGTTACAAATCTTAATAGAACAGATTTTATATAAACTGGACGTTTTATATTATAAAACGCAAGTGGGGGGAGCACTAAGCCGGTTAGAGTGCATATTGGATATTCTTCGTAATTAAGAAAGCTACAGTCGCTTCGCAAGCTCCGCTCCTTTTTAGCTTTCTTATTTACGAAGAACACCCAATATGCACTCTAACCTATACTTAAACTGTGTACGCCATTTTTCATGGAATGACACAAAAGTGTCACATTGACTGTTCCATGGTGACCGCTGTATGAACACATCTGCAGTTGTTTCTAAATTAAAAATTTTACCATTTTCGTGTTTAAATGTTGAATTCTGCTTAAGCAGGTGCGAGGGGGCTTGGACAGTAACTTGCATTTTCCAGTATGGTCCATTAACGGGCACAATCAAACCAACCTGCAACATTTTTAATTTAGTTGTTTTGGGTGTTCTTTAGGGATTCTGTTTTTCTCTATTTTGTTGTTTGATCTATAGTCCTTCTGTAATTTGCTGATGTATTGTAAAAAATGTGTTGAGATAAAAGTGTCAAGATCATTTCTTTGTTGCAAAGATTAGATTCTTTTAATCATATATATGTTTTCTGTTGAAGATGAATACATACATGACATAGTAACAGTAATATTCTATTTTATTTAGGTGTATACAGAACAATATGGTGTGCAGAAGTTTGGATTTTTTTGGCTTGATAGTTTATACAGTATGGTAAAGCCTCATGAGAAAACTCCGCAAGCAAGTATGTACATTTATATATACATTTGAATTTAGTCATTCATGTCCTCAAATCAAATTCTTATTTAATGTTTGAACCTATGACCAGCGAGCTCAGAGGCAGATATTAGTATCTTAATTACTAGCATGTTGCTCTTCCCTCTCCCTCAATATTTAAGTAGTACCTTTAATCGAAAGATCTTACAATATTATTGAATTACTATTTAAACCTTATACTTGGCACTTCAGACCGTTTCAACGTAAATAAGCAATCTTTTAAGCTATAGATAAATAATTTGTGAAGGGTACCTAGATATCTATTTCACCAATGACATGGGAAAGTCTTTTTATGGCGGTATTGGTGCAGATGTAACGCTTATATACAGACCAAATATATATATCCCTGTACATATAAAATACATATTCAAATTGTACTTTGTTGTTTTGTTTTTAGCTCACCTGTCACAAAGTGACAGGATGAGCTTTTGTGATCGCTTTTCGTCCGGCGTCCGTCAGTCCGTCGTCCGTCCGTCGTCCGTCCGAAAACTTTTACTTTAAATGACATCTCCTCATAAACCACTAAGCCAATTTCATCCAAACTTCACAGGAATGTTCCTTTGGTGGTCACCTTTAAAAATTGTTCAAAGAATTTAATTCCATGCAGAACTCTGGTTGCCATGGCAACCGAAAGAAAAAACTTTAAATATCTTCTTTTCAAAAACCATAAGAGGTAGAGCTTAGATATTTGGCATGAAACATCTTCTAGTGAGTGTCTACCAAGTTTGTTCAAATAAAAGCCCTGGGGTCAAAATTGGCCCCGCCCCGGGGGGTCATTGATTTTCCCTATATGCATATAGTAAAAACTTAAAAAATCTTTTTTTAAAGAACCCAAAGAGCTAGAGCTAAGATATTAGCATGAAACATGTTCTAATGGGTGTCTACCAAGTTTGTTCAAATAAAAGCCCTGGGGTCAAAATTGGCCCCGCCTCAGGGGGTCATTGATTTTCCCTATATGCATATATAGTAAAAACTTAAAAAATCTTCTTTTAAAGAACTCAAAGAGCTATGGCTAAGATATTGAGCATCAAACATGTTCTAATAGGTGTCTACCAAGTTTGTTCAAATAAAAGCCCTGGGGTCAAAATTGGCCCCGCCCCGGGGGGTCATTGATTTTCCCTATATGCATATAGTAAAAACTTAAAAAATCTTCTTTTAAAGATCCAAAAGAGTTAGAGCTAAAGATATTTAGCATGAAACATGTTCTAATAAGTGTCTACCAAGTTTGTTCAAATAAAAGCCCTGGGTTAAAATTGGCCCCGCCCGGGGGGTCATTGATTTTCCCCTATATGCATATAGTAAAACTTAAAAAATCTTCTTTTAAAGAAATCAAAGAGCTATGGCTAAGATATTTAGCATCAAACATGTTCTAATAGGTGTCTACCAAGTTTGTTCAAATAAAAGCCCTGGGGTCAAAATTGGCACCGCCCCGGGGGTCATTGATTTTCCTTATATGTGTATAGCAAAAACTTAAAAAATCTTCTTTGAAAAAACCCAAATAGCTAGAGTTAAGATATTAAGAATGAAACATCTTTTAGTGAGTGTCTACAAAGTTTGTTCAAATAAAAGATCTGGGGTCAAAATTGGCCCCGCCCCGGGGGTCATTGATTTTCTTTATATGTGCATAGCAAAAACTTAAAATCTTCTTTGAAAAAACTCAAATAGCTAGAGTTTAGATATTAAGCATGAAACATCTTCTAGTAAGTGTCTACAAAGTTTGTTCAAATAAAAGCCCTGGGGTCAAAACTGGCCCGGCCCAAGGGGTGTCATTGTTTTTAACTATATGTGTATAGTAAAAACTTAAAAAAAATCTTCTTTTAAAAAGCCCAATGAGCTAGAGCTTAGATGTTTAGCATGAAACATCTTCTTATGGGTGTCTACCAAGATTGTGCAAATAAAAGCCCTTGGGTTAAATTGGCCCTGCAACGTTGGGGGGGGGGGGCCTATATACAGGTGAGCGACCTCAGGGCCATCATGGCCCTCTTGTTTGTTATTGTTTTGTTTTTTTTTGAGGGAGGGGGTGTCTTATTTTGAAGATTTGTTATGAAAATAAATAGTATTGTAACAAAATAAAAATGCTTTTCAATTTATTATCAGGCAGTAAGTCGTCTGTATCCAGCCAAGATGATTCTACCGTATTTGTACAAGAAAATGCCCTAGCAAGATTTGTTGTTGGTCAATGTCATCTGAATGTGTCAAGTACAACTGTACACAGAGTACAGAAACTACTAGATGCTGCTTACAAATATGAATATGAATCTTATTCTAAACCACGTAAAGGTACATTGTTATTTATTGGACCTTTACTTGTATAGTTATTATGCCTGAAATTTTAATAGAAACCTTTGTCTCATGATATAAATTTTATAGTTTCTCTTATTTTATATGACATAGCTGAAGTGGTGTGTAAGTTCAGTACTGAATTTATTGAATGAGTAATGAAGCTACACAAATATAATAATCTATTTATCACATACTTAAAATATAGACTGTTAAAAGTGAAAAATACTCAATTTTTCATTGACGAGCCAAGTGACATGGTAATGTGATAAACATGTATATAATAAACTAAAAAGTGATTCTTGACTTCACATGTCACTTTTAATTTTAGATATTGTTGTTAGATATTGTTGAATAATATTTGTTTTAGGCTGTTGGCCTATTTATGCAATAAACTTGAACTTAGATATTTTCTTTGTAAGGATGAATGGATGATATTTTATTAGACTATCATGGTTATATTTATAGAAACTGTTGATGAGAGTAGACCACATCCTACTGAAGATCAAATGAAATCCCTGGAGGAGTATATTCCTACAAGAATGTACCACCTGACCTTGCTTCAGCCAATCATATCCATTCTCTCCGCTGAACATGCTCACTGTGATATTGCCAAGAAATCCTATAGATCTTCACATCATAAGGTGTATATTTATATTGAAGGACAATCCTCCTTTGTTTATATTCTATACTTTTAGCTTAAGGGGATTTTTCTGGTTTGTTATACTGTTTCAGATAACACTGGTTGGCAGAAATACTGGCAATGTCCCTGGATTCGTTCTTATCATGCTTGTTCTTTAGGTACTACTTGCTTGTTTACATGAAAGTGTTTTAAGATCAGTTGAACAAACTGACTGTCATTCCTTACCGTAACAATCATAAAGGAATGACATGAAATATACATGTGTATGATTATCAGTTTTCAAGCATTTGATTTATTAGACCCGAGGGTAAAATTATTTTGTTACAGTGTTTTTCTTGATTTATTCTTGTGCCATAATATTTCTGATTTTATCACTGTTTCAGAACAAGCCCCAGCAGGCTCCAGTATTACACCCACTGTTTGCGGTACAGGTTATGAGTCAGAGGTTTGATCTTCAGATTACATCACCGATGTACCCACGTAGACTGGTACAGCTTGTCAGTAAGATAGCCGGTCCATCCAGTAACTTACTACACCACTGCCACTCTCATACACAAATGAAGGTAAATGGTAGAATGACAGTCATATTTCATTTGAAAATGTTATATTTCTTCTATTCTTTTCTCTATATTTCTTTACTATTTCGGAAGTTATTACCCCTAAATTTGATGAGAATTACTGAAAAATATTTCTCATCTATAAGCATTCCCTTTAAGGAAATAGATAGAGTTTGATACACTTTAAGATAGGTATGTGTTTGGCAGCTTTTATGAATTCTACAGATTTGTTTGATATCTTTTCAAGGTTTTTGATTATGTTTTAAGAATAAATGTACATTTTCATCAATTTAGTTTACTTCTATACTTTCAGTTATTTGGTTTTCAAGTGGGTGTGACTAAAGTGGATAGTACTGGGTCAAGGTCACCTGTACTTACCATTCTGCCACCAACAAGTGGGGCTATGTATACTAGAAAATTGATCCTGCCAATGTATTGGTATGTGTTGTTTTATCACTTTATTTGCAATGATTATTAGAATATTGGTAACATGCATTCTTTTTTATCCAAACCAAACCTTGTTTACATAAACAAAATTAATAACTTTTAACTTTGGATTTTGTATACATGTTAATTACTTTCTTTCCTTTGCATTTCTATCAGGACTTGTTATTGAAGCTATTGTAATGGTCTTGTAATGATGTAACAATGAAGTACCAAAATTATACAGCCCTTACTGCTGAGTTTAACAATACTGTATACACTTGTGCAAGTTGACTTAGTTTTATATTTGCTAAATCATCAAATAAGATATAAATCTCTAAAGTCTTTGATAACATCTAGAATGTTTAGTACTCTAGTCCTGAAACCCTTTTCATAAGCAATGAACAATACCAAATTATAAGTTGTAGAAGTCTTTTAAAAGTAAATCAGCAGAAAAGCTGCAAGTATAATTGTTGTAAAGAAAACAATTAATTCTTTTACTGCTCATGTTGCATAATTGATTTGCCTAGCTTTAAATTCTAAACTGTCCATTGTAAATGTAAAGGATTTCAATACTAAATAAGCTTAAAGTAAGTTGACAACAGTTTTTAGTCTCATAAGGCTGCAAAGACTTGCATTCTGTACACTGACCTTACTCTCTGCTGGTGGTATGTGCAAGTTGTGTCTAATGGCACGCAAAATAGATAACTGTATCTAAATTGATTCTATTACTATAGGACAAATTCATATCTACCAAAGTTGGAGAAAGTGTATGAGCTGCCTCAGATATCTCTAAGCTTATCAAAACCTGCCCTCCATGTTGTCATGGAAATTGTGTCGTCATGGAAACAGAATAATCCTAAACCGGCTGACATCCTAGCTAGCTCATTATTAGAAGACTTATTTCCATCACATGGTATGTACATATTTCCATTGTCCATCATTAATCTTACCTTTTCAAAGTAGTTTTACTTACTACAGATAGTGTCAAAAAGTCAATGGTTTGTGCAGCAAAATGGGTGTAACCATTTTGGAAAATTTATTTTCTTATTAGAACAATTGTTGTGCATATTTCTTATCTTGAGAGCCTTCTTTTCAGCAAAATTGAAATGAATCATCTTTCAGCAAAAAGGACCCCAAGTCAGCAAATTAGTTCTGTTAGTAAATATGAATTAGACCACCTGTTAGCAGAAGAAAGAACTTAAGAGCAAACATGCACAGCTTGCTCATGTTGTGCATTAAGTGAAACTATCTACCTATGTCTCTAGCATGTTCTGTCTATATTATAAAGAGTTATACAGCTTTGATTGATATTTTAATATGTGAACATAACAAGTGATATAGCCAAATATTGTACATTTACAATTGTAGAGACAGATGGACGTTCTAAGTATGCTGTACTAGAGATCACACTGTCAGGATTTGAGATGAAAACATGTAGAAATGATATGGTGACAGCTTGCTCAGCTACTGTGTCTTCTCTACATACTCTTCTATATAGATATGGTAAGCTGTTTTAAATATGTTTGTTCTCTTGTATAGATATCTCCTATACAGATATGGTTAACTCATTAACAAATATTTGTTCTTAATCAAATGCCTTGATAATTAGATATGTAGAACCTCATTACTTAGTGGGGGCTTCTGTGAAACAGTGGTACAGGTTGCTGACTGCTATATTTATGAATCTTGTGAAGGATTTTGATGTGAGGAAGCTATCCAGCTAGCTTATGCAGGTTCTACTTACACACATTTTTATGTCTAGATTAATACACAAAGGGGGACATAAGGTGTTATTCCACAATTAAAGCTAGAAGGTTGCCATCTTATATTTATAGAGTAGGTGCCACAAAAAATCTCAGTCAATATTTAGATGAGTTTGGTCAGACTGTATGAAAGTGTAGGCTCTTCTGACTATACTGTTGCTATAAGCAACTCATTATCCCAGCTAGCGTTTATACTGTTAACAAGTGTATATGCCTTTGTTATTTGACAGATGGACAGAAAACCAGTATAACTCCAATATTTTCCTGTCCATGCAACACAGATGATATGCACACCACTGATTGGTTAATTAGTGAGAACTCTTCATTAGTGGAGGATGTAAAGAATGACTGCTTGGTGTTCACCTACCAGTTACCACGGAAATATGACCAAGTTCAAGGTGAGTTTTGCAGAAATAAAGCTATATGATTTGTCCAGAGATAGGGTTTGTGGGGGTGTTTTTTAATCAAAGCAATTAATAATGATAATTATTATTAGTAATTACATTTGAAAATTAATTGTCGTTTCATTAGAAGTTATTCATAATGTAAACATGTTTATACAGCAGTGTCACTTGCTTTTTTGCATCCTATTGTAATGATAGAAAAAATGAGTCAAAAGAGAATAAAAGTTCAATAAATCAACAAGTTTATGATTCACTATTTTTTGCATAAACTTTATTGATGATGGTTTTATACATTTATTGATATTTCAGCTCCAGCTTTGGTCTTGATAAATGTTGAAGGTGTTGCTGTAAGCTTGAGCCCGGTTCTACAGACTTGGTTTAGTTACAAGCCTGTTACCAGAATAGTACAGTCCAAGGAACCAAAGATAGAACTAGACCTTGAATTGGCTAAGATGGCATCACCATTGCAAACAAATGTCTCACAAGGCAAGTATTGATATCTTAGATATTTTCTGTGAATTTTCCTTCTAAAGGGCAAGTACATGTACTTACACATCCAGTTACAGAAGTGACAGTGATTTTATTTGCATAAAAACCAAGCCACATCTAGGCATTCTTCCAATTGACAAAATTGTTTAATGTTCTCAATCTTAATCTGTACTGTACTTTTATTTGAAAATTTCCATGAAGTTTGAAGATTACCACCAACCAGCTCAAATGATCAGGCAAATATGGCTCTTAAAGAAAAAAAACAACAACTATTTATTTTGTAATACATGTACATGTGTACATGATATGTTTATAAGTAACAGTTGGTTTTTCTTATTTATCAAAACCGAAAAAAGAACTTTGTTTTACCAAACAGTGTCTGTTCCAAGCAGTGGATCAAAGAGACAAACATTGAGTTTAACAAGGAGTCTTACAACCGGGCAACAGTCAACTTTACCATCTGGAAACCAGGACAAAAAATCTTCTGATGATCCAGAGCAATCTGGTATCGGACAGACGTTTGCAAGCATATTCCCCCTGATCAGAGTTCTACAAGTCCAGGTAACAAACAACTACAGAAAATATGTTTTAGTTTAGCAAAACAATTTGATGCTATTAGGAATATATTTGTTGTGTTATAATTATTTGTTTTTGTGTTGAAAGAAAAAATGCATTAGTAAATTTAAACATTTTTATTATGCTTTTTTTAAAGCTTATTTCAGCCACTTTTAAGTTCTTATCCAGGAACTAATTGTAGGCCTCTATCCCATGATCCCCAAGTTAGTGGTAAAATCCTTTTACCACTAGGACATCCATCCCTTAGTTCACATGTGCTGTAACATCTTTGGCAGTAATCCTTATTGTCTTTTTCACCTCTAAAGTTTTAGTTCATTCTGTATTTGGATCATAAATAGATCACATGTTGAAAATTCTAATTTCCGGTTAATAACCCAGTTATGCTTAAAAGATTGTTAATTATTAAAATGCTTGCATGTCCTGTAATTATGAATTTAACTTACTCATTTGTTGTTAGTTTAAATGTCTTGAAGCTGCAAATCTCTGAGTAAAGAAATCATTAAAAATCAAATGTAACAAACATAATGTGTAAGTTTAATAAATGTGTAGATATTTCAAATCCATGTGACATTGTATATGTGTTGGATAAAATATCACCCAATTTTCTTTTATATCACCATAAGTCTACCCAGCTACTATTTAACTAAAGGTTATTTTACATATTTTAGCACACAACGAGTAATTTCTGTGGACAGTATGAACTTTAGGATCTCTCATATCACTTGATGTGTAATTTTGGCACTAGTTTCACTATTTTATTTAGAACTCTTAGAAATAGAAAACTGTTTTCTTTGTATTTATTAGCAGAAATGATGGAAATGCTTGTTTCCTTGTACTTGTAGGTAGAAATGAAGAAAATCTGTATGTTCTTGCCAAAGCAGCATGTAGAAATGGATGATCCGAGTACAAATATTGTTGGAAATTTCCAGTCTATGGCAAGGTCAAAGTCACTTTGTGATACGCTTGTTGTTTGCCTGCCTCGTGTTGTCATTCAAAGTGCGGCAATAAAACCAATGTCTACAATACCAGATATCCCTATTACCAGTGTGGAAGGTTCTCTAGTTGGTAATGAATAGTTAGAAAAACTTTTTTGCAAATGAAAATTCTTTAAACATAATTTCCTTATGGAAGCTTTCATTTGTGAAAAAGCTTGAAAATGATTTAACTGGAATAATTTGTATCAAAGTTAACAGTTCCTTTTGACTTGTCACTTCATATTTTAATAAAAATGATACTAAAGTATCAAAATTAAAAGAAAATTGTATTATAATGTCCCATAAAGCCCATGGCATGTACATAAAATCATTGCTAAACATACTAGAAATATCAGCAGAATATATTTGTTAGGCAGTATGTTATTGTGTTTACTGAAAACACTCATGTTTTCAAATAACAGAAACTTTTTGATAAAATGCCTCTTGATATGACAGTAAGAAAATAACAGAAACTTTTTGATAAAATGCCTCTTGATATGACAGTAAGAAAAATAATACAATATGTTTGTAATAGCTTTAAAAATTGTATACCCTCACTACCTGTCTGTCTGTCCTGCTGTCTGTCTGTAGACAGACAAAACAGTAGAATGTAGAGACATCCATGTCCTATTGACATATTTCTAGTAATTGTATATTTTGCCAGTGATAGATTTTCACTTTTTTTATAATTGTATGATATATATTTTTTCTAATTCACAGGTGATAAAATACCATGGAATGTTAGTTTACAGAATTGCTGTGTGTACACAGTTCATAGTTCTCAAAAATTAAGAGCTCTGCAGTTGTTGAAACCGACAACTGTGTCATGTACTGTTGGTGTAAGCTACAAGTATACCCCACCCACATCAGATACAATATCAGCCCTGGGACTGTGTCTACATACAGACATGCGTTCTGTTACACTCTCAACTTCCATGGAACAGGTAACGTAACTTACAAGTATTTTCAGTTATCTAGTTGGATTAGAATAGGGAAAAATACTTTATTTTCATTCAAAATTTGACAAGTGATTGTGCTATTTTATTCTTTCGGCAGTACTGCTGAATTTGCTGGAAAAGGAGGAAAGAGTTATGTGTATGTGCCATCTGTTTGTGCGTTTATATCCTTGGCAGGACATGTTTAACTGTGACTGTTCGCATTTTGTATTCAAATGATATTCATTTATAGAAGAAGAAGAAAAAAGAGTTTGTTCTGTAACTGAACTACTCGATGTTAAGTACCAACTATTAGATCTACTGTATATGACTGTGCAGAAAACATTTTGAAATTGTGCTTGAGTAATTTTATAAAAAAAATCAGCTTTGAAATCAGAAATAAACCAGCATTGATGTTGTTTTATTGGAAATTGGTTTTTTTACAGGTCAAGCTTCTTGTTGATGTAGCAGGTAACACAATTTTAACCTGTCAGCAAGCAATATCCTGTGCTAATGACATTTCCAGATGTGTGGCATCTGAAAGCAAAGCCTCGAAATCTGTATCAGAACCTTTACATTATCAAAACCAATGTCCGTCTGCTCATGTAGCAAGTGCTGGCTCAGTCAGTCAGAGTGATGTCCCTTATACTCAGACATCAGGTGACATTACCTCCCTTGATACCCCCAGCAGAGAGCTGGAGATCATGGAATCAGCAGGGGAGGGAGTGAAGTTGTCACTATGGTTACAGTGGACATTACCAAAATGTGAGATGAGGCTTTATCTGAAAGGAAAACAAGGTGTGTAACTTATACTATACATATTTGTAGACCAGTAAAATAAATGGTCATTTTGTTATCATCTATAGGTTGACTGAATGTTTTATCTCTGTAAAAGGACTCTAGAAAAAAAGGAAAACATTGTATTGTTATGACTTGAATATTGTAAAGTCGGTTGAAGTAATAAACAAATGTACAGATAAATAATGCATTCACATGTAGAGATGATACTTTAACCCATTTTTATGGTCAATCTTCAAATTTATTTACTGATTGTTTTATTATTTAATGACTTATAATTTCTTAAATCATGCTCAGTTTTCTTAATTTTATATGATATAAATTAAAACAAGGATAAACAATAGTGATTTTTGACAACAATGACCAGGCAACAAAAGAAAAGAAAAATCTGGTTTCTGTATACAAACAGAACCTAAAAACAAGTCACTTTTTGCAATATGATTATGTTTATTAAATGAAGACAACATTTAAATGTTGTAGTATATGAATTGATGGCTTTCAGTTAAAGGTTTTCTGTATGTTGTCATGCAGCTTAGGTTTGTCATTTTGTTGGGACATGTCTATTTAACATGGAGAAATTGTTCGGAGAAATTGTTGATCAAAAGTGATAGATTTCTAATATATGAGCTTTATCTAGAGGTATCTTTCATACAGGTTCATCTATAATTAACCTTTAACCTCTATTACAGATGAAACAAAGGTTAGTGCTCTCCTTGAAGACATAACACTTTCAGTTGATGTACAGGACGTGTATTCTAAACTAAAGTTGAATATGGGAGGAGCTAATGTATCTCATTACAAGAGAAAGAGGTATAGTAAAAAAAATTCAACATAAGAAAACTGTATTGACAGTTTGGCTGTAATTTGGTACAGGATTATTTGTAAAAAAATAATCTAAATCACCAGCACTATTTTTATTTGGATTCATAGCTCATTAGTGATACTATATTATAATCCCTGTCAGTGACTACTGTTATTTTTGTATTGGCTGTTTTATTTTTGAGTTATTTTCTACATATTTTCGTTTTTGGTTTGATGCTGAAATATTGGTAATATTTTAATGGTCAATGATTTTATTTTTTTGAAAATGAGCTGTAAGAACAGGCTTTTGTTCAGCGTATAGAGCTAGGGTAGCCATATGCTTCAGTCAGATCTATATACACTGTAGTCTATTTCATGTAAGTGTTTAGATATTAAAACCCATTTAATTGACAATGGACTATTATGAAATTAATATATGACAAATGCTTTAGTTACAACAAAGAAAATGTTCACATTTATGAAGGACTTTATTTTGTTTGATTTTCAGTGGAGAAGAAAAATGGCAGAAAGGTATACAGGAAGGTTTATTAATGAGTTGTCGTAACAACCTGACCCACGATACCCATATTGTTACATCACGTTTATGGCGCAGTGACCACGGTTCCTCTCCTCTCACTATTTACCAGGGGAACCAGCCTCAAAGGGAGCAAACTCATGTATTTTCTTCACTAACATTTACAAGAGCTCTGAGAAAAAACGTAAAGAAAAGGTTACAGAAGTTAAATATTGATATACCAAATGTGGACATGCTAAATGGAGGTGATTTCACTCATCAGTTCTATTTTAATCAATATGTCAGTGAAGTTTGTTTATCTATAGCACCATGCGACTTTATTCTGTGCATGGAACCAGTGTCTGCCATTTTAAGCAGCTTGAATCATATGGAACTTCCGAAAACAACAAAAGCTGGGAAAACAGCCACCCCATTCAAGGGAGATAAATCTGTAGCACCTTCTTTGAATACATGTAACCTCCCTTTGCTGTATGCTGATGTATCAAATGTGAGAATATTTATACCAGGGGAGGAAACTGAGAGCAAACATAAGAAAGAAAAGATTTCAACTACTATTGAAAATGACATGCTCCTGTTCCAGGTAAGTTACCAGATTTCTATAAACTATTCATTGGTCAACTTTATTTAAAAGTTTTTCTCTTTGCCTAGTTAAGAAGTATGTCCTTACATATTTATTTCCCCATGTTTATGGTATGATTTTACAGAGTAAATTGCTACTATGACATGCATAACAGTCAAATTCGTCATTTATTGTATGCATTTATTGGAAATAAATAATAAGATAGATATTGTTAGTTGTACATGTATATTTACTGATAAGGAACAGTATTTTAAATGAATGTTTGGTCTTAAATGTGCACCTATGCATGAAGAAGTGATGAAGGAGTTTTGAGGGGGAGGGGATGGGGGAGAATATATTGTCTAGAAGTTTTTGAAGGTTAACTATTTATTCATAACTCAGTGACTTAACCCACCCAATACAGAAATAAAATGAGAAAAATAACAAATTTTACATGTCGAATTTTCAGTTCTTTAAATACATGTACAACTATTTGATTATTTATGTCTTTTGTTAGATACAGTCAATGAATATAACACCTCATGCAGACAACCCGCTACCCCGGTATGCGGTGGATAAAGAGCTATACCAGAAAGCTGTCCAGCTAGGGATCACATCAGAGTCTGGTGCTGCCATGTCTGATAAACAATTCCAAGTTGATATTAAAGGACTTAGCTTTACTTCAGGTAGTTATTTTTGTTTGTTGGTTTTTATGTCACAGCGACACAGTAAAGGTCATATGGCGACTTTCATGCTTTACTGGTGGTCCGTAAAACCTCAGGTGCTTTACGTGCATTATATCAGACCTGGATGGGCACCTGATTAGAACCACCAACATTTCGTAGGCTAGCTTCCTCATATGAATGAATCCAAAGTCCCTATCAGGATTAGAGCCCATAGCGGTGAGGTTCAAGTGATTTAAAAAATTTTATTAGTGTAAAACCAAGTTCTGTTTTATTGGGTCCATCTTAATGGGTTTTACACTAGGTTCTGTTCTTGATGTAACTTAATCACACTCCTATGCTTAATTTGTTACTCTCTTTGAATAATTATCAATTTGTTACTCTCTTTGAATTATTATCATCTTTAAAATTGTTGACATATTAAATTATTGGATAAAAAGTGCTTTGTTGCTTTGAATCTTTAACTTATCATTTGAATGGCAACTTTAATATTGAATACTAATGCTGTGATACTTATCTTCTTAGGTTGTTGGTCTGAATTGTTGAGACAAAGTGCACAGGAAAATTCAGGATCAGTCACCACACCAAGTACCCAGATACCTGCAGTGGAATGGAATTCCCTCAACATCAGGTAAAATTTGTATATATATTAACTCATGATGTACATGAACAATACTATTACTTGATTTAATAACTTGTTATAGATGTCAATGATAATCTTACAAAATGTCAGCCTGAAGAAGAGATCAAGAATGCCAAAACCTGTAGCTATTGATAAAAATTCAGAACCACCTGGTGCCGTTCATGCTGTTTTCTCTTTCCTTCCAATCTGTACAAAATGAAAACTTTGAATTCTTATTTATTTTGATAAAATACTTCATGGTAGTTTGATGATGGTGTATGTTAAAATGCATATATTATTTAGAAACACATTTGAGCCGCGCCATGACAAACCTAACATAATGGGTTTGCGACCAGCATGGATCCAGACCAGCCTACACATCTGCGCAGTCTGATCAGGATCCATGCTGTTCGCTTACAAATCATATAACAAGTAGAGAAACTGATAGCGAACAGCATGGATCCTGATCAGACTGCTCGGATGCGCAGGCTGGTCTGGATCCATGCTGGTCGCAAACCCATTATGTTGGTTTTGTCATGACGCGGCTCATTTAAAGTTGAAAACTAATCAGGTTACATCATCAAGTTGTTAAGATAATGGCACAGGTTTTTTTCTTGCACTCTATTTTTTCATATATGAAGTATAAGTTTTGTGTGTATCATGAAACTATCAACCCTTATTGGCAGCAACCCATTTTACTCATGCAACCAGTGCAAATCAAGGTTAGCTTTATCTTGATTGTTCATTATTCAGTCAGTACAAGTTTTAAAATTTTCCCTAAAAATGATAAATAGCTTTTTCCAGATCATAAGTCAGACAAGACCATTTATGGTGTGGTAAGGAACAAAGAGTTGAACCAAATGATTCCATTGTTGCATTATGCATATTTCTATTCTTAATTGTGTTATTTACAGCCTCTGGCCCATACACAAACAGAATACATGGCAAAATATTATGTAGATTACAGAGCAGTGAACATAATTATACAAAAAATACATAATAATCATCATACTACTTACTTATTATGCAAAATATCATTCATTGCAAGCAATTCTTAATGATTGTTAATTATGCTGGTGACTTTATTTAAAATGTTTAAAATGTTATTTCAGAGATGAACATAAAGACATAGAGTTATTCCCCTTGTTGTCTCCTTGTGACCTGAAACTAGTGCTGGCTCCAGCCTTAGTTAACTATACCCCGGTGTTAGGGAATGCTGACCTGAAGGTTAGTTAGTAGTCTGGTATATGTAATCTTTTTAATGAATGCATTCATAAATATTTTGCTTAATTAATATATGATTGCCTTAACTGCTGACATCTCATTTGGGCAAGAAACATATACAGTTAATGTTTGTTGGTTTTAAAAACATTCTTTATTTTAGGATACTATTTGCCTTGCAAATATCTTAGATTTATGAATCAGAGAGCAAATTAACCCCTTTTATGAAGTTGCACATTTTATTTCTTACACTGAGATATGGTCAAAAATGTAATAAGATTAGTGTTAAAACTAAGGAAATAAACAAACCTGCTTCAGTGATTGTAAGCTACCTTAGCTTAAACAATTTAATTTTCATCATGAATTGATGGTAAGTTAATACAAATTTTCTATTCTGTTTCTTTTTTTTCAGGCTAATTTAGTGTGTGGGTATGGAATGGAGTTTAATGTTGTCAGTGACCTTGACCTTAATATAAGCACCAATCAGATTCATTTAATGCATAGGAAGGTCACAGAGACCTTGAAAACTCTGAAAATTAGTGCAGAAAAAAGTGACGACAATGAGGAGAGTGTTTCATTACAAGATAGTGGCATAGGCAGTGAAGTGTCAGCTGTCACATTACAGCGGTCAACTTTCAAACAAGATAATGCAGGTCAAGGTCAAAATAAGACTGACACCAGAATGACCTTGACACCAGTTGACCTACTTTTAACAGCAGGTCGCATTTCATGCACTTTATATACACATAAGAAAACAGAAATTGAGGTGAAACAAGAGACAGGTAAACATGACAACAGTAAGAAAAAGAAAAAGTGTTCTAAACAAGACCTGGAATGGAGGGTTGATACGGGACTTGAAGAAGGGGCAGATGCTATGCATTACGAGCATATTGGCTATGAGGATCCGTACCTTATGAATATGTATAAGATGAATACAGACACAGAGGCAAAGGTTATAGCAGCAGGAACTACTTGTTTAGAACCATTCCTGTTCTTCTACATCTCTCAGCCTCATACAGTACTATCATGTCAGCTTGATCATCAAAAGTTTGAGATGTCTTGTTACGATATCTTGATTAAAGGAACACCAGAGAAAACCTTAATTCCAGGTGAATAATTTATATCATTTTAATGTATTAGGAGTACATAAATATAGGGCTAATATTTGATATGCTTTCTGTATTTCTTAAAGTGACATGTTCATTTTTTTATTGTCAAGTTGAGCTGAATTGACTATATATTTCAAAGGTTGACTCATCATGTTATAATGGTGATTGACCAACAGTTGATATAGGAAAATGTTTCTGATAACATGTAAATTTGCAGAAAAAAATATAAAAGACTGCCCCACTTTTTTTTATACATTGAACATTTTAGGTAAATTCCAATAAATATTTACAGAATTTTTCTTGTGGTGATGTCAGTTACTTATCATTAATGCAAAGTAAATTATAAAATTGACAGCAATATTGGCTTAATGTAAATATGTTTTGACTTTCTCCTTATTACTCACTGTACACTCTTGGATGGGCATAATGGTCACTTTAACAAAGCATTTTATACACATGTAATTATGCAATAAATATATTTATGAATTTGCTTGGCTAGTTTTACAAGTAATGAATCCGTTTGCATTAACAGTGACTGATGTGAAACTGTTACCTGACTGTTCTGACTTCACTGAGTATTGGTTAGAGACCCGACCTGGCCAGCCTCATCAATCTACTGGCATACCAGCTAGTCTGTTCACTCTGTCAATAGTTGACTTCCTTAGTAAACCAGGTAAGATTCTTGTCACATTCTCTATGTTTGCTTGTCTATGATATTAAATCAGATAGAAATTAAGAATCAATTGCAGCTATTAATTGTTCTGATTCTTTTTCTGTATGGATTGCTTATTAGCTTGGCTACTTGAAGAATAGATGGGAGCTATTGTAATCACTCAGGCATCACACTTTAACTCTATCATGGATTTTGACAGAATTATGAACCTTTTTGAACTTGGAGAAAATTCTACATTATCAAGGTTTTTGTTTTACTATCAAGCACTAAGAATAGTCAAGAACAGTGTTCTACTGACAGCTATTTGTTATGTTGGGTTCAAATGGCAATTTTCCAGCTTTACTGGTTCAGGAATACCTCTGGTGCCCCTTAAGGCATTATTTCAGTCATGAGTGCACACTGTACTTAAACCTTCAACCCTCCATTGGTTACCTGGATAGCTTTCTTACATGATACAAGGCAATGTTCTTTAGGGGATTCTAATGGTCAACTGGTGGTTGCAAGGGGGGGGGAGGTGATTTGAGGCAAGTGACCTTAACCAACCCACCTTGGGGGCCCATTCAGTACAATAAAGTCAAATTTAATTATTGTCAGTCCATTATGAACCTGGAGATTTTTTATATGATTTAGTATTGTATCAATTTTTTGGCTACATTAATGTACATGTAAAGTTGGATTTGTAAATATGAAATTTTGCAGATTGATTTTTTTTAAGATGATATTGTCTGCATGTATGCTATACAAAAAGTACATTAAGTAAAGTTACATTTCAGGAAAAATAATCTGGAAGATTGAAAGACCTGTTAGACTAAATGTTTCTTTCCTGAAGATAAAACAAGGCCAGGAGTTTTATAAAACATTGTTACCATGGCAACAGAAAACACACGAAAGAACAAAATCATCTAAACCAGCAAGTAGAGATTCTGCCAGTACCATGGGTATACAATTTTTATTTAAACATATGATAGTTCTTTTAATACAAATACACCCTCATATTTACAAGATAGTAAAATGTGACACATGAATGTTATATCAACAAAATACCACCATGTTTTGTTATAACCAATGTTGTTGCATAGATTTTAGTAGTGATCATGAAATCATAAATAGTTCAATGCATATTATCATTAATAGTTAAAATCTGTCACATGTAGATAATAGATAGCATAAAATCATAAATAGTTCATGCTTGGTATGAAATCATTACACCATATTATGTTTACATAAATTGTTCATGATTTTTTTAACTTAATAACACATATCTAAGTTTTTTGAATCATATAAGTATAAATAGTCCATACATCTCATAAAATCATGTACAGTTTGGCACATAATTATACCATAGATAAAAATTGAGCAGAAAAAGGACTCTAAATATTCCTACTTATTAATGCATAAGATTTAAATTTTATACATGTATATGCTAGGCATGTTAATGATATAGTTGAAAATGAATATTGATTTGAAGTTTTAGTAAAACCAGCTTACATGTATATTTACATAACTTGTTTTCAGAATTGCTAAGTGGAATCAGAAGTGTGGAACTAAGAACTGTGCAGGTTATGGTTGCCATGGAAACCAAACCTTGTGATGAAAAACCAGAAATTATTGCATCATTTAGTGATTTTAAGGGACAAGTTGATTTACATCAAAATGACAAAGGTAATTCAGACTGGTTTTGTAATGATTTTTTGTAACCATTGAACCTTTACCTCGCTAAACCATAAGCAATTAGCTTTTGCCATCAGTATAGAGCAAGGCCAGCTTTCCCTACTTACTTTTTATTTACATTTTGATGTTTCCAATATTGAAAAAGAAAAGTTCCAGAAATTGAAGTCCCATTTAGGGAATTAAGTAGTTTAACGGTATATGAAAAATAGCAATTCTGTTTTGCATTTGATGTATTAATTGAGTGTTACATCATGCTCCTTTTTTTCACTGTCGCCTTGAGCTGAATAAGTTATATTTATTAGAAAAAATACCATAATATTGGTGATTTACAATTTACCAATAATTGATGATACTAAATGTTTAGGAAACAATATAAATTACTTAAATTATAAAAAGACTGCTGCTCTCTGTTTATCAATTGAAAGTTACCCATAAATTCTTAACAATACAGAAATTTCAATGAATCACAAAGGTTTTTTAGGTTGAAAAATATAAAAACAAGAACAATTCTGGCAAAATGTAAAGTTATTTTCACTTTTTCTTGTACACTTAGAAGTGTATAATGTCACATTAATGAATTTATTGAACGTAGTAAGTGAAATTCTCAAATGCTTTCTTAGAGTCCTAGGTTAGAGTGACTTATTTCTAGTCAAGGACAAGCCACTTGCATAGTATCTTATTCCCCATCATACAGTAAAGGTTGATACCCCTTAAATAAGTATAAGATAGGAGAAACAATACATTGACTTGTTAAGTTTATAGCTGGTTTTCAAGTTTGGTCACTAGGTCCACTGACCATAGTCCAGCCTATGAACTATTGTATTGCTATTTGACTATTGGCTAGATATAAGCCATGACTAAGTATTAAACTGACAAAGTGCAGTCTGCAGAACTCTTTGATAACCATTTCACAAAGGATATAAAAGTTTCATATTATTAAAAGAATAAAAAGAAATATTGATGAGAAAAAGGAAATTGCATTTTCAAGTTTGTGTAAAATGTTTTCCAGGTGAAGTGATCAGTATACTGCTGTCATCCTACATGCGTGACATGTTAGTGAAGACTGTCTATGAAAGTAGGTCACTCACCATGATTGATCCATTCTGTTTGAAAGTAGACGGTACATATACTCGTATATCAAGAGACGATCACGACTACCTGTCACAGAGTGTGGTTACCATAGCAACTGGTCTTATTACTGTGCACTTTGGTCAGGAACATGCACTTTGTTTGAAACTGCTCACGGACCATGTTGTAGAATTTTATGAGGTATTTTTATGCCATACAATGCAAATCTTGATTTTTAGCTATCTTTATCAAGAGTAAACATTAGTTTCCATATATTTATATATTTTGTATATGCTCAGGTCTGTTCAAGGAATATTACATACAAAGAGAAATATTTGACAATCTTGACATAGAATTTATAATATCAGGCATTTTTTAAATTGTTTTCTGACGATCTCAAACACAGGAATACCAAACTAGGAAAAAAATGGCTTATATAGAAATATATATTCAAACAAAAATTGAAATGAATGTTTTAATATTTTGTCAGATATTGAATATTTTAGTATTTTTATTTCAAGGAACTTTCAGCAGGGACAAGTGCAAAGACAAAAACAGAGAAGGAGAAAAGAGATTATAGTGGTAGCAAGTCATTTACAGCAGATTTTATTGCTCATGCATCCAGGGATGATTTAAGATCTGGAGAATTTCAATATGTGATGGACACAGGTATCTAACCCCATCCAGTCTTCTATACACTTAAATTAATAGATTGTTGCCCATCTTGTTCTTTCTTTCTGGCTGGGGCTATCAGTTACCTCATCTATCACATTTTCTGTTTTTATAAGCAAGAGCATTTTAGATTAGACATAAAATACTTATTGGCAAGAATCTCATTTTGACAAACAGAACTATGACCTCAAGTTTTATCACTCACATTAAACAGTGATACTAGGTAAATGGTGGTCAAAAGTTACCAGAAATGTTTGGTTTTTTAAAATATTAAATGGAACATTATTTATACAAGAAAAAAAAACACAGAAAATTCAAAAGGTTGTCATTTATTTATCACATTCAAAATTCTTTTCATGGAGTTAACAATTTTTTCATTGCACAGCCATTTTATTTCAGATTGTGTGGAGGTTATTCCAAGACCAGGAGAGATTGTATTTTGTAATATTGACAGGGAAGGTAACTCTAGTATGACTTGGAGCTATAGTGAACCAAGAGTTATCTCTGGTTTATCGTCCACACCTGTACCATTTAACACTCCTGGTATTTATGACAAGGTGAGCATGTTATTTATGAACAAAACACAAATTATGTTTTACAATTTACTAATGAAAACAACAGAATGCAAAAAAACAAAAAAAACTTTACAAACAATAAAAGATGCTAATGTTATTATTAAATTAGTACAATCAGAGTCATAGATATCATGTTATCTACATCTCTGGTACTATGAAAAATGAACACGAGTCCTTAAATGTAAATCTAAAAACATTATTTGTGTATGTTTTCCTTTGATTGGTTGTCATGATTTTGTTTGTATAGGCTGGATGCACACTGCAGTATTGGGATAGTTTAGTTCAACAATTTATGGACTTTGTGGACATAGATCTACAAGAGAATGATGTCACAGATGTGATGTTACCAAGTATCAGGGAGAACAGAGCTCAAGATCTTGTAGCTGCCCTCATATGGAGAATTGTTGTCAAAAACCAGGAAGAGTATGAAGTGTTTTATCTTTATTATGGAGTGAATGGTGCTTAAATTAGGGCTGTTTACTTAGAAATTGGGATGAGACCATAGCATTTCATTTTTGGAAAATTCAATTGTAATATTTTGGTTAATTGAGAAAGAATGTATTAACCTTTTAATAACAAACAAAAAGTACATTTAAAGAACTAAATACATTTCATTCAGTGCTAAAATATCACATTGATTACAAAAGCTGCTACCTATCCTAAAATGCCTTTTAAATGTCAACAAACTTTTCATGAGTTTAGCTGGGAGTGTACATGAATTTTTGTTCGAACTTTCAGTTGTTGAGCAGTAACCTATTGAAATTCTCTAGAATGTAGCCAACACAAGACATTATTTGTGGGATATTTGCAGATAAATTTTTGGAGAAAGTAAAGTGTGTGTGTTTTTTTTTTGGTTTTTTTTTTTTAAAGAGGAAGCCACTCATTATTGGTATTTGTTAAATAAACACAATTCATCATTATGCAAAAAGTGAACAAAAGGCTGAAAGTAGATTTGAAGAAATACAGTAGTATTTCAAAGCATATACCTATTCAACCGCTTATCTGCCTCTTATTTTTGTCTGCATAGATAAACAGGACAGTGGCCTAGTGGTTAAGGTGTCTGCCTCTCAACCCAGAGATCATAGGTTCGAGCCCTATTCGGGTCACGACCATGTTTCTTCATATGACACCAGTACTGGTTGGTTCCAGGAAGAGGACTTGAAAGTGATTAATATAAGTTGCAAGAAATTGTTTCGCAATCGAGCTTAAATAAATATGTTTAAACCAAACCAACAGGACAGATGTAATATCTTAACTCTGCAATCCTAAAATTTCACAGTCTTACACAGTCTTTTAGATATGTCCTGATTTAAATACATGTACATTTAACCTCTGCAGAACGACCCTTTGTAAAGAAATAAAAAAAAATTATAACAGAAGTATCAATTCTTTATAAAGGAAGAACTCACAATAACTTAAAGCACTTGTAAGAACAACACCTCTCAGAAAACAACAAAATCTTTGTCTCCTACAGGGAGTTGCTGTACCAATGTTAAACATGTACTGTATAATAGATTGTTATATTAACAGTGAAATGATGCTCCCACCAGCTTCACTAGCTGCCTCGATGAAAGTGGATTCATGTTTTATACCCAGCTTGATACCAGTTACACAGTTAGGCCTCACAATGGAGGGGGTCCAGTTACATCTCAGTAACCATGTACATTGTCTTGGCACAGGTAATCTATTCTTTTGTATCATATCAGGACATTAAAAAAAGCAAACAAATTATGCGTCATTGGTCTATGCATAAGACGCTCAAAGTGATGAAAAAAAGCTCAAAATATTTGTTTAAAAAAAGCTCAAAATATTTGTTTATATTTAAGAAAAAAGTGATAATATTTAGCCAATTATGTGCCTATTTATGAGACACATCAGGTGATAAAATTGGTCCAGTATTGTCCCAATACATTTGTGTGTGTCAGTCTAAATGTATAAGACAGATATTTTGGTAAATAGATAACATATTATTTGTCTATGTATAAAACACCAAAGTGGATGAAATATGGTTAATGATTATAAAATACACTGGTTAACCCATTACAATTTCCATCTTCCAAAATCAAAACAACAAAATTTAAAAAAAAAATGGGAGATGGGCAATTCTATGTAAGAAATTCAGGTTGATTAGGGTTATATTTATAAAATAGTATCAATTCATACTGCATGTTTATTATATAACAGAAACACCTAGCAAGCTGAAGCCTTTCTTCATGAGTTCTAGCTACCAGCCTACTGGAGAATTTGCTGTGATTTCATTGGATGCTGCATTGATTGCTTTTACCCAATGGCAAAGTCAGCAAGCCCGGAACCAAATTCAGGTGAATATTTAGTATAATATTTTTTTTAAAGAACTTAAAAATCTTCCTTCGATATTCATATTTTATTTTTTTAAACAAATTTAGAAAGAATTGTTGGTAAGATTTAGTTTTGGGGATACTTTTTAGTAGACAAATTAAGTGAATATACGTATATATATATATTTAGACTTAGTTGCCAAAACTGATGCTAGTTATTAGAAATACATGTGCATCCTCTGAGGCAAAATCATAATTATTCTGACCACTATCTATCATATGCATTCTTAGTTTGAGGATGCTTTAGTGATAGAACAACTGATACAGGAATTATTAGTGAAATTTCTTTCTTATATTTGCAGTTTTCAAGTGTACTGAGTGTAGATCTACTGGAGTATAAGACATTGACCATGGAAAAACTAGTGTCACCATTCGAAATATCTGGAAACTGTAACCTACACAATATAACAAAGGTAAATATTTGTATGTGAAAAACTTATTTCTATATAATTATGAGCTGCATTATAAACTCTTTAATTTCTAGCAGTTATAATGACTTGTCTACTTCACAAGTTTATTGCCAGCTACATGTAGCTTGCACATCTTCCCAGTCTGTCCTGGAATTCTGGACTGCATATCTTTGATCTTTTGATATAGTAGTCCTTTAAATTTTAATTTTTTCAGTCCTTTATGATAATTGTTAATTTTGATCATAAACCATTCATCATTCATGTTTGTAAGAGAGATGACATGCCCTATGTAACTTGTGTGTAACATGATATTTTGTATTTCAGTCACTTACATTAGATGTAGATATAAGTTGTGAACCTGTCAGAGTCCGTGTTGGTCAGGGTGGTGTACACAATATAGCCAGTTCATTACAAGCATGGAATCAAATTATGAAAGGTAAATATATATATATATATTTTTTATAAGTTATAAACTATCACTCCTGCAATGCAGGCAGAGATTATTATATTACTATGCTACAAGTAAAGTCAGAAAAACTTTCACATCACTGCAGAAGTGGCCATCATTTCAGAAGTGGCAGCATGGCCAAGTGGTTAATTTGTTGGACTAGTAATCTTAAGGATGGCTTGCCGTGTGGGTTCAAACCCTGTTTGGGGCAAGCTGTTGTTTCTGTGAGCAAGAAACTTTACACTTATTGCTCAATACCTTTTGGTTCTAGGAACAGATTCGAGACTGTTTCAATAAGCCTATAGTTTCTTACACAATCAAACTAAAATAGATTAGTATAAACTAATAGCTCATTGTGATTTTCTGGCATTTTCAATTATTAAGGTATTGGCTATATTAGGGTAAAAAACAGCACTTATGTCATACTGGGAATCATAGTCTTGATTCCAGAAGTGCTTGAACCCATTAATACTTCGTTACTAGATGAAGACTACAAGTATTAGGCCTTTGCTTATCTTTAAATTTGATAAAACCATTAAGTAACTTATAACAACTGGACTAAATATATGTTGTGTTATTGTATGTTATAGATGAACCAAGTCAACTAGATGAGATTGTATTTTGCCACTATGTTATATGTAACAACACCCAGCAGCCTATAAGGTTTGGTCAGGTAGGCACAGATGAAAACCTTGTACTACAATCACGAGAGATGCACCAGTATGGCTGGAGATCACATAAAATGAAACAGGTTTGTGGCTGTGCTAAAATTAGTCTAATAATGTTCTTTTCGTAAATATTAAACAACACACTGTTTAGAGGAAGAAATTTAAACTTTGATAGACTTAAATTATGATCGCTGTTATAGATATTTACAATCTATGCAATTTTTTCCATATTTGACACAAATATATGATAAAATTTACTTTTTTTATCACTATATTTTCTACCTGGATACTAACGGAATAAAGGTTTTTTTGATACATTATAAACATAATGATTTCTTATTATGGATAGTAAGTGCCTTAAGTTAGCTTAAAATCACTAAATAATTGTAACCGTTAGCCTGCTGGCAGCAACTAAATCTAAGCATGTAATCAGTGCCATCTGATCTTGGTCTGCACTGTTCGCTGTTCACTCCTTTTTGACAATTTTCCCAAAATGATGAATGGTATTGTTGAGATTGACAGATAGACAGGACAATTTAAGATATTTAGTGATTTAATGGTTAATAATACTAATGTGACATAAAACTCAAATAAGAATGTGTAAATGAATGAATAAAACAAATAAAGGATTTTGAACACACAAAACAAAGCAGGTCAGATTTTAGTATATTTATTATTGGCACACATTAGATATTCAGTAGCCTATATCAGGGTCAATGAATGAATTAAATGTATGAATTTATTTTACAGGAGATGCATATATGTTTGGATGGTAGTGTATGGAAGTGGTGTGACGCTGTTGATTTAAACAAACCAGGAACCAACGTCCGCAGTGTCACGTCAGCTGACCAACAATACACACTTGTTATAACTATCAAACGTCTCTCCAACCTACAAAACCAAGTAAGTATCATATTGTAATATCTCTTATACGAAAATAAACAAGCTTGCTTATAATGGTAGTTACAACCTAGTGCAAAAGGTGTTTGTTTCTTATCCAAGAGATTGTAGGTTTGAGCTCTACTATGTAAGACTTTTATGACACCAATACTGGTCAGTTTCAGGAAGCAGACTCAAACATGCCCTTTGTGACTGAGTGGATGCCTTTATGATTTAGGCATAGAATTGCATCCACCGTTTATCTCTGGGTGGTCACAAGAGGTGATTAAATGGGTTTGAATAACGGGAGTCTATGTATCTCTTATCTCCAGCAGATAAACCTGGGTTGTTGCTTTGAAGTTTTTTATTCCAGAGGTTAGCCAAAATCATTTATCCTGTTTCAGCGCCATATGACCTAAACTGTGTTGGTGTGCTGTAAAATCAAACAAACAAAACAGACTTAAATATGTTTCAAATAAGTATCAACATTCCCTCACAAGGGAGGTTACAAAAATATTCTTTGAATTAATGGAGCAAAACCTTACATTTACAAATGATTAACAATCAGCATCAAAATTTCTCCAAAATAATTATTATAGGTTAATCATTTAATGCTAACTTGAAAAGTTAATTTTGCATAGTTAAAGATGATAGAATTGAAAAGTTAATTTTGAATAGTTAAAGATGATAGAACTTCAGAAAAATCTAAAAAAATGTGCTCCCAGTGTTGCTCATTTAATAGGTTCTTAGAGTATCCTTGTATCTCTGTCCAGTTGATTACGCTTGAGAGATGAGCCATATACCTAAAAATTTAAGTCCCTTAACCTATGGATGGACTGTTTCAGATTCACTCTGTGTAAAGCTGTTCTGTGTTGTATTTCTTTCAGGTTATAATTTCTGGCCTTGTAGTGGTTTCTAACAGATTGTATCAGCACATGGAGGTGAAGGTTGTTACCAAGGAGACAGAACATCATGCTGTTGCTGGGTCAGAAAACACTATTCCGTCATACATACTAGAGCCACAGAAAATACTGGGAATCAAGTTAAGGCCTTGGGGAACTAATAGTCCCTGGTCTAAGGAAGTGCATGTATGCAGTTCTAACTTCAAGGAAAATAATTTGGTGAAGGTAAGTGATCTATTTTATGCTAGTTTTTTTTCCAGTGTATATAGTTCTATTTTTTACAAAATTGACCTCCCTTACCAAAAGTGGCAACCATTTTGGAGGTCAACATTCTGTATATTATTGACAAAATATTAAAAAATTGAAATAAAGAGCTGATTTAGAATTAAAACGAACAGCTGATTTACATGAATTGTCAGATTCTTTTATATGTACATGTATGAAGGAAAATATTATTCATGTGAGGAAGCTATCCAGCTAGCTTGTGGAATATTGGTGGTTCTACTCAGGTGCCTGCTTCTGCCTGAAATATTGCATATAGTAACACATGAGCACTTTCCTCAAGAGTAAAGCTGGATAATTGCCAAACAACATTTAAAGTCCTGTTGTGATGAAATTCTAAAATAAATAGCAGTAGATTAAGGTTGTGTTGATATAATTGAATCGTTATTTATTGACTTTCATTATTTTTGTTTACAGATCACGTCTGGCAGTAAAATATTCCACATCTGGTGTAGAGTTATTTCACATAATATACAAAAACTGCAGCAAATTTATGTAAGTACATTAGATAACATAATTATATTGACTTCTTTTATATCTCATTTTTTTGTGTCATCTAATTTATACATGTAGAAGCTGATTGCTAAATATCTACCTGATTGTAAAGCATTGTTTACAGATCATTTTGTTTGTTATTTACTGGAACATGTGTATCTGGAATTTACAAAAGCTATGACATGTTTTTATGCCCCCACAAAGTGGGAGCATATAGCATTGCACTTGTCCGTCCATCCGTACGAACCCAGAGGTACTTGTGTGACTTGGAGAACAATGGGTAACAGTAAATTCTCTTTGATCCTATTCATTCTGTTTTTAATTGTTCTGAAAGTAATTGTTCCTATACCCCTTAAATACCCTTATATACCACCACAAAGGGGCGTCCGTGGCCGAGTGGTAAAGATAGTTGATTTCAGACCACTTGCCTCTTACTGCTGTTGGTTCCAATCTCAAAAGGGACTTTGAAAACTTCCATGTGAGGAAGCTGTCCAGCTAGATACAGAACTAAGGTGGTTCTATTCAGGTGCCTGTTTGTGACTGAAATAATGCACAGAAGGGTACCTTAAGTCTGCCTCCACTAGTATAAAGCCAGAAAATCATTATATGACCTACACTGTATTAGGTGATGTAAAACCCAACCAAACAAAAAGCAACACCTCTACAGCAGTAGATGAAAACAGTTAAAGACTTAATATCTGCATCTTAATATTAAACAAATATATATTACTAAAATGTCAAGATTATAATGTATTTTGACCTAGTTCTTTCTTTACTGAGTTAATGAGATAGGCTGTTAATATATAGTTATTATTATCTTTTATATGGTTTTTCAAGCAGAAGTACATGTACTGTAAAGATTATATTTTGCAGAAGTACTTTAAAGTCATTATATTGCAGTACTTGGCATAAGAACATGTGTGTGATAAGCCTATCCTATATTTAGCAGCAAGGGTCACCATAGCTGTTGATTAATACAGCTATGCAAGTGATATTGTTAAGATTCTATGATAATACATGTAATTAATTGTAATTCATCCTAAAGGATATATGAGCCGCGTCACGAAAAAACCAACATAGTGGGTTTGCGACCAGCATGGATCCGCGCAGTCTGATCAGGATCCATGCTGTTCGCTATCAGTTTCTCTACTTGTAATAGAGTTGGTAAGCGAGCAGCATGGATCCTGATGACTGCGCGGATGCGCAGGCTGATCTGGATCCATGCTGGATGCAAACGCAAAATGTTGGTTGTGTCGTGATGCGGCTCATATATATAAAAATCAATCACACAAGACTACCACTTTATTAATTGTTTATGGTGCTCAACCCAGCTTGTGTTTATTTTATTTGTTAAAAAACTCCTGTATATCTGCATTATGAACCTTTTCTTTAAATGATTGAATTATTTTCAGGTTATACTTTGCCCCCTGTACACAGTAAGGAGTCATCTTCCATACCCTCTATATGTTAACATTGACACCAGCAAACTTAATGTTCATGAGCAGATAGAGGCCCCAGGGCGGGGCAGGGACTTTCAGTTACAATGCCCTGGTGGTGATATCCATCAGGCCCTTACATTTCAGTTCAGGTAAATTGCTGTAATTTTACACAAGTTGTTTTTTCTTATATATGAATGTACATGTATTTAGTGTAAAAAGTGTGAAAAACTTGGTGTTTGAGAAGAATTCAACAGTGGTACCATGAATTGCAGAAATGGTCAGGTACATCTAAATACTAGACAGTCTGTAAGAACTAATAAAATGTATCACAGACGAGACCAAAACCAAAATCGCCATTTGGCACTATATCAGTTGACATTTTATTACATGTATAGTTTGCATACAACTTAATTTCCTCAGAGTGCATGGCTGCAAAATTTCAATAAAACTGAAATAGAAGCTGTGCTTGTCTAGATTGTTAGCAACTATACCCAATCTTCTGATAGAAATTATTTTTAAGTGTAAAGCTATGTTAGCAACTATACCCAACCTTTAGTGAGAAACCATTGTAAGGTGTTAGGCTATGTTAGAAAATAATCCCAACCTGCAGAGGAGAAAGTATTGGAAGGTATAAAGCTATGTTAGCAACTGAGTCCAATCTCCAGAAAGAATTATTATTTTGTCTAAAGTAGAAAGTTAGAAAATATGCATTTACTTAGCAGCCAGATTTAGTGAGAAATGCTAGAATTTGCTCATAAAATCAATAGTCATGTATTAACGAAAAACTAAATGTGATGAAGCTTTCATACAAATGTTAACATACTTTGTCACAATGTCACAAAAGTAAAAGCAGCTAAGTTATTGGAGAAAAAAAACCACTATGGCTAACCTGCAATTCAAGTGAATTTACAGCCATTGTTCAATCAAGACATAGATTTTCTCATTGTATGATCCAGACATAGTTTTCCTGTTCAAATAATGCTAGAAGTAACATTTGTAAAAATACATGTACATGATTGTATGATTTTATGAAAACAATCAACATTTTGTATAAATCATTATTACAGCTGCCTAAAAAGGAAATTTTAGTTTAAAACGATTCACAAAAAATCCCCTTTCAGTTAAATGTAATATTATCCAATGTTGCATGCATAACATGAACTCAACCACTGGATACCTTTATCCCAAGCCTACACAGGAGAGTGTATTAGCACCAATTGTTAGGTTTTAGCATAGTATTGGCCATTCGTACAGATACCCCATTCACCATTTAATAAAAGTATGCTGAAATTATAAGAAAAATATTCTTAAGTGTTATAGTGCATCACAGCCATAATCATGCAACTAAACATCAAATAAAGATGAGGTGAATCTGTTTTCTTTCATGTTGTAACATTAGAACTGTTGAAAAAATAACAATACACTGGGTTATAAGTATTGTTATCTAACTGAGGATAACAAAATGTATCAAACAACATCTTGTTACCATGGACATACATTTTTTTAACAATGTTGACACTAAGAGCATACAATTTTTTGGAAGATTATTTGGAATACTATTTATAAAAAAACTTCTTTGATATTTCAGTTCAAACTCTGTAAAGTCCAGCACAAGTGTTACACTTTCAACTGGGCTTATAGATCAGCTTCAGAGAGCACAGGTTACTGACTTTAACCCTGATAGCTTAAGCAACTACTGGAAGACTGATTCCTGGTTTGAGTGGCCATATATACAGAATGTCCATTTAGAGTAAGATAATTTTATGCTATCAAATATATGAATTAAAAAGGTCAGTGATTCCATCAAGATTTCTGGTCTGTGTGCCAGAAAAGATGCAAAGAAGGGACATTAGTGGTGTCTTATAGCAGGAAAATCACCATTGTGCCATTGAAATGTTTATAACATGACACTAAGACTTAAAATCCATGCACTTTTTAAGAGCATCTTTTTTTCTCTTTAAAACTCATCCAAAAAAAAGGAGAATGTTGGAACTTTTCTTTGATACATGTATATCAAGACTTACAGATCTAAGTCTACTATAATCTGCTGAATTTAATAAAATGACTTTTTATTGTTAATTTTGGGTCTATCGAGGTAAAAATTTGAAGTTGATAGAGCCTGGTCAGGCTGCACAGATGTACAGGTTGGCCTAGCTTTATATTGATGGGCGAGGGCAAAATACCAGCAGGGGAAGGGTTGAATTTCAGGTGTGGTATACTCATAGGCTTGCATTGTTATATTTATATTAAGAAGTGATAACTTCTATATTTTTCTTTTTCTCTGGCTTTACGTATGTAATAAATATGATTATATAACTGATAACTTGAGGACATGACCAAAAAGTTTCTTAATGATTCTATCGCACAGCTTCTCGCAAGTCTGGGATTGTACTGCTTGTGTTTTTACCCCTCACCAGTACTTAAAAACACAAAATAACAAAGTGTTTATGTACATGTAGTTCAGTTTATTTTTTTTCAATACTATTTTTGCTTTGGACATTGCTCTTAATTATCATACTGTTGAATATTTTAGATAGCTATTTTTTTTTTTTTTTTTCAGAGAAAATTCACCAAAACCAGGTTTATACAGTATAACGGTTCCTGAGTTAGATATTCAGAAACAGCCCACTATAGACCTTAATGTGAACCTATCAGAGCTGTGGCCCGGCTTTCAGACACTTCTTGTAGATGTTTCACCTTCATTTATAGTCAACAATCTTTGTGACCTTGACCTTGTGTTTATGGGCAATGAGGATGTGACTTTTGATTTGCTTAAAGGTCAAACAATATGTCCTCCAAAATTAGAGGTATTGTAATATGTTTTACATGAGAGAAAAAAAAAGATCTTTATTACTTAAAGAAAATTATCAGCATTTAAGACTGCAACGTAAAATAAAAGTAATGCTGACCTTTATATGAATATTGATATAATTACGTTAATTTTTGTAGTTAACTGCTTCATCTAGTCAAGGTGTAAAGATTTATATGCTAAAGTTTGTGACTTAGAATTTCGGAAAATACCATGTCGTCTAATATAAAAGTCTGTCTATTCAGATCAATTACCCTACTTTATTTTCATTGTTGCATGTTTACTACATTGTTTGATTTAAATCTATTGTATGATTTTGATTTTCTCTTTAAACAGAGTAGTTTCCATGTGGGTGTGAAGTTTGGGGATGTGGTTGATATGTCTGAGCCAGTGCCTGTGTCTGAGGAGGAAGTGGGAGAGCAGCGCTATAGAAATGATCTCGGAAAAACACTGTATATAGACTCATATGTTAACATGCCAATATTTACAGAATGTCAAGGCCAAAAACAGGTTACTATAATTATAGAAACTTTTATTTATGACGATAGGATGTTATTTGACATAGTGCTGTAATTGTTGAAAAAGAAACACAAAAATATAAAAAAATGTCTTCATTCAATAACAAGTTATAAAACAAAGTAGATTTCATTAAACTTGAATAATGTACCATGGACTTAAAGCTCAGGGTATACTGTTATATACAAGCATTCTTTTATGAAGATATCCAAGTGAGTTTGGAGAGGAATGTTTAATAAATCGAATTTGTAAAAGCCCTTTTCACCTATTCAAGCTAATCAACTTCTACCAAAAATTTTGGATGGTAGTGTGAGATTAGCAAAAGTAGTAGATTGTTCTATATTGTATGTTGTAAACATAACTTATTCTCAAAAATTGAGATCGTATTTTGTTTGTAGATGTTTAAAAACTAAGAGGAAAATTCCTTTTATTTTATTGAATAGGTGTACTTTCTGACAATAACTTCAACAATAAAGCACCATATACGTGTTGTGACAGTACGGGAACAGTTTGTGATCTCAAACCTGACCAAATACATGCTTCAAGCCTGTGTTTTTGCTGTCCCTGTTTGGAGTGACAAGGTTTGAAAACATAATTATATTATATTTGTATAATTATATGTATAGATTGTTTATATGACAATATATTTATGTGATTATATGTTAAAATGATTATACATTTATATAGTTCAACTTTTGTATGATAATATGTTCTGTATATACATGTATACCAATATGTTTTATATGATTATATGTTTATACAGGTTTATGTTTCAAAGTTTCAAAGTTTTATTTCAGAAAATATCCTGAAGGCCAAAAGCCCATGAGGACAACATTTTAAACAGTGTACATGTTGAAAATTATTACTACATACTAACATATTGTTATAATCGTGTATGCTTCTAAATCTCTAAGTAAAAGTATAGTTATAAACATGATCTAATTTTTTAATACTGATTATGACATACTCTATCTATTCGCATTACTTCATCTTACAAAGTGTGCTATTGATTGCACAAATTAGTAACACCAGTGACTAGAACTTCATGACCTAATAAGAATATCCATATGCTTCGCAAAGACCAAAAAAGAAAATTATATCTGACATATCACAATGTCATATATCATTTATATTTTTCATTATGCCTGATGTTTGCTCGAATGCGAATGAGAAAAATATATCACAAACAAATTCCAAAAAAATTTTTTTTTTCTTTTTTCTTTTTTTTTTCTCAGGAAATAGTGTTACATAAGAAGATGGATATTATTTTTAACACTTAACAATATTCAGAGAAATTTTCAGATAGCATACATATAATGACAATGTTACTTCATAATTTAATGTAATATTTTCAAATATTTGACATTACATGGCAAAGATCAGTCTCTCAAACCTGACACACAAGCACAAAAGCAGTAGTAAACTTGTTTGTCTTACATGTAAGGGAAAAGCACATTCTGTCCGCCCGTACCAGCTGTTATATTTACACTTTTGTCTAAACAACTCGTGTAAATATCACATCCAGCGCTACCGCACACAACCCGCCCCAATCCAACAAATAAGACATACAAATATCTTTATGTATTATTATAACAAGCACAGTATAATACATCTACATTCATATAATGCCTGTTTCGGGCAAGTTTCATAAATGCTAAAAAAAAATAAAAAATATTACTAATTGAAATAACTAGTTGACAAAACAAGTATGCATATTGATATTGGCTCTATAGAACATATTTAACTAACAAACATTTTTGTATGTCCATTACTTAAATATATATTGTACACATCACTTGTATATAGTAAGACGGACAATTATCCTTTATTAGGTTAATGCATCAACATTTATATAATGTCTGTTATGAGCGAGTTTCATATATTCTAATTGTAATATAAAATTGTCATAACAAGTATACATACATATATATATATTTTTATGTTCCATAAAACATATCTGATTAAACCTATTTTTCTTTATTTAATATTATACACACTACTATAGAGTAAACGTTCAACATTTGTTTTACTTATCATTGTAGATTTATAATTCTAAATTACCCTATATCAATCTGTTACTGTCTATATACATGCAACGCTATCAAAGACTCTAATTTTCTAGCATTGTATATTAGCTCACATTATTACTATATAAATTAGCAGAACGAATCATAAATGCCTTGTATACATACACACTTAACTTTGTCAATAAAACTTCATTATCAGATGTAATTAGTTGAATAAATTTACACATATTGGGTCTATATCTATAAAAGCTAGGAATATAAATGTTTCTTATATCTGTATATGCTTGGCACTGTAACACAAAATGAAATTCATCTTCTAACACTTGGCATATGCTACATTTTCGCTGCTCTAAAGGAATCGCAGTGGGCTTTGCCCATCTGCCGCTTTCAATACTTAGTCTATGAGATGACATACGCAATCTTGATAAGCTAAATCGAAACTTTTGTATGTTGCATAAATTAAGATAGGGCTGTAACCTAAAGCTAGCTATGTTTCTATAAAAAAGTGCTCTAGTTGAGCTGTTAAGTCTACTATTCCAGTTTTGTATGAAATTATCAGACAATCTTTGCTCAAAATAGTGCAAAAATATTACCTTATCACCTACATCTTGAAAAAGCCACACATCATAAAAACCAAGTGTACATAAAAGATCCCTCAATAATGAACACCAACTTTTCTTGTTAGGATACCTTTCACAGTCATTTAATAAAGTAATATAGATTTTCTTGTTAAACTTATTATCTTTTGTCTGTAATAACTTAACCCAGTATTTAACAATCTTTAAATATCTCAAGGTTTGAAAATTTATACGCCCAAGTTCACCATAAACAAAATCATTTTGTGTACATCTTTTAACACCAAGAAGTTGCTTGCAAAACTGCAAATGGACTCTTTCAATTGCACAACCTTTTGTGAATCCCCACACTTCACTACCATAATTTAAAATAGGTGTAATCAGTTTATCAAAAAGTTCAAGCTTGTGTTTTACTGTAATATTGGTGAATTTATAGAGGTATTTATTCATCTTAAATATAGCTTTTGAAGCTTGACCAGCTAAAGTATTTAATGCATCAGAAAAAGAACCACCAGAAGAGAAAACAATTCCTAAATAATTAAACTTATTTACAATTTCAATAGAGTTGCCACTGTAATAAAAAATTATGTTTACTGGTAAACGACCACCTTTTCTAAATATCATTACTTTTGTTTTATCAGTGTTCACAACAAGTTTCCACCTTTCACAATATTCATACAATGTATCCAAATTATTTTGCAACTCAGTTGCTGAATTAGCAAAAATGATGATATCATCTGCATACAAAATCAAAAATATTTTGAAAGTGTCAATATCAATACCATTTACTTTATTTATTTATTATGTCTTAATAAATAAACATTTATATGATTATATAATTTTATATATTTATAGTATGTTTATATAAATATACATTATATGATTACATGTTTCTATAATTAGGTGTTTATATAATCATGCATTTACATGGTTATCTTTTTATGTCATGGTTATATTTTAAAAAAAAACAGTTATTACCATAGTGTTTCTAAATAAATATATGGAAGAATATGTTAAAAGTACAAGCTTGTAAGAAAAGCTTCTTAGATAATGCAAATCTTCTCGATAATGTATTTCCATTAATGAAATACCCACATCTCTTTACTTTTAAGATGATGCCAATTAAAGAGTAATATGATTAAGTTTTGAAAATCTTTGAAATTTGAAAGAAAATTATTTTAAATTTCCTTTTATCTTCCAGGTCACCATGCCAATTGATTCTAGTTTTGATATAAGCAGCCATCTTGGTTGTCATAGGGACAAATCTGACCTTCAACCTTTGACCTTCTTGCCTCTTCAATATTCATGTGATATTCAGCAAACAACTGACATTGATCAGGCTACTGATATGTTTAACTACTTTGCATTGAGAAATGCTGGAAGAACTGTGGAAAATAAGGGCAATAATGATAAATCAAGAGAGGCGGGAAATGACAATTTTTCTGAAGTTTCATTGACTGCATGTAACACGGATTTTGATTGGACATTTCCTGTTAGAATGGTTGCCAATGAGAATGGTTGCAGGATGACAACCAGTGTCACTGTTAGAAAGGGCAATGATGTGAAACAAGAGGCATTGTGTATAACTGGTTTAGAAAAAAACGGAATAATATATTTTACAATACAGATTGACACTGCACCAACTTGCTTTATACAAAACCAGTGTTATTTTCCTCTGTACTACGGGCAAACTTTGATGGATTTGTCTCTGTCAGGTAAGCTAAAGTTTTAAATAATATTTCTAGTGAAAATTTGAAATTGGATTCATATCAGACTTTTGTTATTATACTTACTCAATATAATAGCAAATCAGTGAAGTTCTTATATAACACATTTAAATCAGCACATTTATGAAGTTGTCATGTGTGTAAGTAAAGGGTTTTAAAGGGACTCCACTGAGGTTTTTTTGACATGACGGGACTGGAAAATTGTTTTGAGATTATTACTCCATTTAATGTAGATCTATACTAATAACTTATGTGCAAAATTTCAGATCATTAGCTTGCTCCGTTTTTCCAGAATAATTATTATAATAGTGAAAAACGACCCAAAATTGAAAGCGTTTAAACGCTTTTCATTCAAATCGGACTGAGAATAGCACAAACATATGATTTTCAATGTATTTCTTCTATATTTCTTGGTTACATTTTATTATTAATATTTATGTTTTAAGTGCTCATGTTTATCTATGTGAAAAATAAAATTTCATGTTTTTAGGCTTATAAACCTCAGTGGAGTTCCTTTAACTTAGTCTCAGGTATTAAAATGCTCATAACTTGATGAAATATTAAAAATACCAGAAGTCTTTACTCAGTATCAAGGTAGCGATAGTTTGCTAATTGGATTCTTTGGTAGTTTTTACTCAGTTAGTAGCAAGGTAGTAATAATACTGATACTGATATCGTACTGGTACTTTTTGTTTCATTTGGTCACCACATTTTTATTTTATGATTTAGAGCCTTCATAGTTGTATACAAGCATGATTTTGATTCATTGATCTATAAATTACTTTGTTTTAAATGTTAAACTCTGTAAATTAATGAACTTTCACAACCACATTGTTGGTATCTTTAAATACAAAGATACTAGATGTGGGCATTTATGTTAAATGAACTTGTCATGTTTTTCTTTAATAGCACCAACTAGAAGAGAGGGGGTATAGATTTGTCCTTGTCTGTCTGTCTAGTTGCCCTGCTATCCATCCATAGGCTTACAAAACATTGGAATGTGGGACATCCATATCCTTTTGACACATTTCTAGTCTCTTTTTACTAGTATTTGACTCATGAATTATAATTATGTCTTTTTTTTCATATTTCAGGTACTACAATACAAGAAGAAGTAGAATTGGTAAATTTTCTACCATCTGTTCCTATAAATGGATCCCTGTATTACACACCGCCTTCCATAAATTCATCATTCCCTCAGATCAATGATAAACATTCCATTCCAAAAATACACATATCTGGCACATTGCCAAAAGACTCTGAAGAAAAGGAAATTCCTAAAGTGACATGGAGTAATCCAATAGATTTACATGTTGCAGCTGATAATTTCGTTTCCATTCCAAATGTTGCTGATGTCAAAGTTCATGTGAAGCAGGTTGCTATGGTAACATATATCACAATTTCTCCTATAACAAAAGCTGATGTGTCTGCCAAGGAGATTCGCAGTCGTTTGAAGGGAAGGGAGAGAACTCTAGTAGTTGAAAGTGAATTAAGGGAAACGGCTGACGTGAAAATAGCTAAAGAGTTGAAACAAGCCCTGGAAACTGGATTTTCTGCGATTAATGAAGCAGATAAAAAGAAAGATAAGACGACAATGTCGCTGAAACTTTCTGTTGGTTTGTTTATTAGCCAGTTGTCGCTGGTGGTCCAGGATGAGGCGTCTTCTTGTTACACTAAAGGTGAAATAGTACGTCTTACTATAGATGATCTATTTTTTGCCTCGTATCCAGCAAGTGATCTTATTGAGGAGACTGGTCATCATAGAAACTGCATAGTGTTCAGCATAGGTGATGTACAACTTGATAATCAAATACAGTCACAGGGTAACTATGATTTCCCCGTGGTTCTTGTGCGACAAGATGCTGACAAAAATCCATACAATAGTGACCATTTGCAGGTTTCTGATATGAATGTTCTAGAAAAACATGCCGTTTTAAAATCACTTAGTGTTGTCCATATACAGATTGTGTTAGGAAACATTAATGGGCGCTCTTCCGTGATAGAATCTGTTGAATGTGCAATAAAACCTTTAAGTTTTTACATAGATGATACATTTATATTCCGCTGTATTAAAGAAGCTGAAGGATTCTTACAAGTTCCCCTATCAGTCCATGAACCACTTCCTGTTGATATACTAAAGCTACCTTCGACTGTGAAGAGCATCTCAAAGACATTGAGTTGTCCTGTCACTATAGGACATTTGAATATACAACCAGTGGCAGTTATGTTCAGTATACATGCTTCCATGAAAGTATTTATAGCTTCAGACCACACACCTTTATCTTTCGGAAAATTTGAAAAGACACAAGTCTGTACAACAGGTTACCAGCTTATCCGAGTTTTGGTGATGCATTATGCTTCTGGAGCATTGTTCAGAGCAGGTTAGTTTTATTTTTTAACCGTTAACCCACTATGTAACTTAAAGATAGTAACTTTGCTTAACTTTAAGTAAATTATTCTTATTGCAGAAATTTATTAAAATAAAGGAAATTCTTATTGAATTTGGCTACGTTGACTAAGAGAATGCATAAACTATGTCAGGGAAGCTGAATTCCCTATTTCTGATCAGGTTAGTTTGGTCCTTAAAAAAAGTGCCCGTTTTTTAATGATATTATGTACTCTTTCTGTGTTTACCTACAGCATGTAAAGTTTAAAACGTAACAAATCTCATTGTGTGTATTCAAAAGATATTTTTTAACGTTTAACATGAGACAGTGTACATGTAGCAATTACCAGTATATCAAAATAAAAATATTTGAGCATGATATACCTTTAAATGGACTTGTCCACCTTCCATTATTTGGACTATTTCATAACTTATGTACTTACTGAAGTCTTGTCAATACAAAGAGCATGATATTTCTAAGTTAAGGTCTTTCATCAAACTGCTGGTGTTTATTTACAGGGGCTGTTGTTGGGTCGCTAGAAATTTTGGGAAATCCAACAGGACTTGTACGCAGTATAGGCACAGGGGTTGCTGACTTTTTCCGGATGCCATACAGGGGTCTGACACGGGGACCCGGAGCCTTTGTTGTAGGTGTGTCACAGGGAACTTCCTCCATGGTGAAGAATATTACCACAGGTAATGATTCAATCATTGTAATATTGAACGAAATTTTAGCCAATTCAATTAAGGATATGAAATATTGAAAACTTAAAAGTGCAGTACATTGTATATTAATAGAAGTTTGCTTTGTTTTAAGTACTAGCAACAATACAAAGGAAATATTGTATAAAATTCCAAGTGCCTGTCAATTTTTTATGATATAAATTCTTAAAGCAGTTGCAATTTCTTTTTTTAGCAAATAGTATTTATATGTTCCACTTTCTGATTAGCTAAGTCTAAAGGGTAATTGTTATTTAACTTGTGATTCGATAATACATGAATCACCATTATGTAAGAATGAAGTAAGAATGAAGTGTATTATTGAAGAATACAATATGAGGGGCATATAAATTGCACATATGCATTTTGTTTTTTTGAAGGGATGCTGAAATCTGTAACAAACTTTGCATCAAGTGTGTCCCGTAATATGGATCGCCTGTCTTTGGATGGTTCCCACATCAAGCGACAGGAAGAAAGTCGTAGACACAGACCAGATGGTGTTGGAAATGGACTGAAGCAGGGCCTCACAGGATTTGGGCTTAGTCTACTTGGTATGTTTCATCTTTGTACAGGTTAAATAAAGGTGGAATTTTGAAGGGAATTAAAAATTCTTCGAGGGGCGTCTGTGGCCAAGTGGTTATAGTCATTGACTTCAAACTTGCACGTCATTGGTGTGGGTTCAAATATGGACAAGAACTTTGGATTTTTAATGGAAAGAAGCTAATGAAAGGTCTGTTGTTCTACTTGGGTGCCTGAAATAATGCACAGAAGTGCACCCAAGGTTTTCCTCCTACAGTAAAGCTGGAATGTTGCCATATGACCTATACTGTGTTGGTGCGACGTAAAACCCAACTCCTCCAAAAAATCTTAGACTTACATGGAATGCTTAGTAAAACAAGTTTGAATTATTGACAGTCAACTGTGTATATGTTAAGTTAAGAAGGTTTGCTTATAACTTTTGTGTTTGTTTACAGGTGCTGTAGCAGGTTTAGCTGACCAGCCTATACAAAGTTTGTTGGACACAGAAGAAGGTGGTCAGTCTAAGTCATCGGCTGCCTCTGGTTTAGTGACTGGTATGGGTAAAGGTCTTGTTGGTGTATTCACTAAACCAATCGGAGGTGCCGCAGAGTTTGTCTCACAAACAGGTCAAGGTTCGTAGATCTGTTGTAATCATCTAGCTTTATACCTTAACCGTGGACAAAATGTTTGAATGTGCAGACTTAATGAAACTGTAATTTAAACCAGTACCAAACAATCACACCATTTTGTTAATTTTTAAAAATGATTGTATGCTTATTCTGCAAAATAAAAGTAGCAGTGTATGTAAATGAAAATAAAAGGTATTTTCACCTGTGCAATTCACTTGATTTTATGGTTGGTTAAGAATCAGACACCTTAATCACTATGTCCCCCACCCCCTCTTTAAAAGGTTATGGACAAAGGTATTTAAAATAAATATGGACACAGGTATTTGTGTTGTATAAAACTTTTATCATAATTATCATAATTATAACTGTAGGAATACTTCAAGGAACAGGCCTTAGCAAGTTGCCAAACCCACGAGAATCTCCACATGTTATCACCATTTCTCAGGAGCCCTGCGGACAAGTCAAATATGCTTTGTGAGTAGAGTTGTTTTTATACAATGTAATATCTTTTAAAGGTCATGAAAAAAGTATTTGCTAATATAGGAAATAGTGATATTGATATCTTGCTAGGGACCAGTCTTTAATATTTTTGGCTTTTGTGTTTTTTGGGGGCTTTTTTGCAAGTACAAACGTATCTAATTTTTGCTGGCACTTAATTTTGTGAAAAATAGAAATGCTTAAATTTAATTCAATTTAATACAAGAATTTACATAACTGGATTTTCTATGTTAGATTTGCTAATAGTTGAGATGTAAATATTACATGTTGTAATATCTAGGTATCCAGGTTAAAAAAAACAACAATTTGGTATTCATTAGATTTTTTGTAAAAACATAGCACATATTACTTACAAAGATAGTGAATGTTTGCTCTACTGAATTTTCAATAAAATAAGATAATTCACATCTTGATCCAAGGCAGTTTTATAATACATGACATGTTCACAATAAGGTGAAAGAAAACAAACTAAGTGTTTAATACAAGATACTTACTTTTTTGTGGAACACAAATAGAAAAATTGAAGAAAAAATTTAACCTTTGCAAAACAGTCACAGAAAATAAGGGTGATGTTGTGTTTTGTCAGCAGAAAAACAGTATAAAAAGTATTACATGATACTTTTTTGTAACTGAAACTTTTAAACATTTTCCTTGTATTAATGACCCTTTGAATAATATGTATCAAAATGCTCAGCAGTGTTGACATCCTAATTACTACATACATGTAATGTCAGTGTTACAGTATACTGTAGGAAAAGCCATACATGTTGTTTTATACAATAAAACATTGAGGTTTTCTTGTCCTTTACACATATTTTGGTCATATATTATATAGCTAATTACTTTGAACAGACTGTATGCATTTGTGTAAAGGAAAGGAAGGAAATGATTCTGTTAGTGTAATAATGGTAGTAAGAAATTGAACCTTCTCTTTTAAAACCACTAGGCAATAATAATGACACCATTTTTTAAAGATAATGACTCCTTCAGAAAACTTGCAAAAAAAATTGCTTTGTGGTACTTATTTTATATATCAACCACATAATACTAAAAATATACAGTAAGTACAAAGTTTCTCATACAGTACAATTAAACTACAAAAGATACAGAAATTTCCATGTAATATCATGTATCACAGAGGACAACAAGAATTGCTACATGTATTGATTAAGTGTCAGCATCTGGACTAAATGGGGAAAAAAACTGTTGAAATGTATTCATAAAAGAAAGGAAATGACTTGTTTCCAGAATAGTCACTGTACCATCATGTTTTCATATAGTGACAATTTGTAACAGTGACATTTAAATTTTACAAGAAATTGAACCTACTGTCAGTCAGTGACCTTTCACTGAATGACTGTACAGGAAGATACCTTTTAAGTTGTACATGACTATAACATTTATTTTTGCAGATACTGTAGTTCTTCATGTACAATGTCACGTATGTATGATTTTTCAGGAAACTTTTTCAAACGTTGCCATCCAATGACATTCTGTGTTGTGTAGAAGCATTACATATAGACCTTACTGACCAAGATGTGCCAGTTACACTTATCCTAACTCCAGAGATATTGTTTGTGGTATGTCTCTATAAACTCCTTATACTGAACATTTTAATGAGTATTTTATGTAAAGTTTAATAACTTTACATGTTATTATATAATTGCACATAATGAGCTGATTTGGAATGGTCTTTTTTACTTTCTTAATTGCCGTGTATCAAAATCAGTTTAAAGGTGCACAGTTGTTATATTTTTTTAGAGTTATGCCCCTTTTTAACCAAGAACTTAGTCATAAATGCTTATTTAAAAACTATGCAAGGACTGGATTATCATTACAAGGAACAGTTTGAAGACAAAGAGTCATTATGTTGAAACAGAAAGCAGTTTTTTAACAGGTGTGCAATGCTCTTGTTTAATCAGCAACAGGTACCATTTTAAACTGCTAAAACAGGTTCCATAAGTTGTACTTAAAGTGTATGGGATTGTGTTTCAAAATATTGTGCTTAATGATCCCATGTTAAAGATGGATAGATGAAAATAGTTAACTTTAGATAGATTATAGAAGGTGTAAAGTTAATTTCCCTAGCATCCATTATTTAGGCCACAACAGGTAATGCTGAAATAGGTTGCATTTTAAACTGCAGAAACAGGTTGCATTTTAAACTGCTGGAACAGGTTGCATTTTAAACTGCTGAAACAGGTTCCACTTTTAAACAAAACACTAAGTTCAGCTGCAAAAAAGACTCAATTTCTTGTTGCCAGAACTGTGTTCAAATTTGATGACATCTTTGTTTAAGGATGACTTTTGATAATTGTAGGTAAATCATGAGGAAGATAATCAACAACAGTCATTCTCTGTTCTTGAACTAGACTGTGGTGTAACTCAGAAGGACCAGCCATTACTGTCTATAGTTTGGAAGGACTTGCAAACATTTACTGAAGAACAAGTAAGTAACTTATTTACAATTTGATTTTCAGGAGTAATACCAGCTATGGCTAATTATAAACTTCACCTAATCTCTTTATGATCTGGTAATTTTAGCATATCTAGCACCTGTTAAAGGAGCAACATTAGTCATTTCTAAACCTGACCCAAACTATAAAGGGAAGTTGTGATATCATGGAACATCAGCTGTGCTTTACTTTCCAGTTATCCTGTCACTACTAGGTCATTTCAGTGTTTTAACTTTTTAGCAAAAAAAAAAGTTTGTCTAACCTGCATTGTAGGGTAATTGGCAAATAGTATAATACTGAGGCTCGAGTTTGTGTCTGAAATTATTTGAGTTGCTGGCCAATTGCTTCCTAATTTACCAATAAGTTTTGAACCTGATATTATATAAAATTACTTTAAAGTAGTAGTACAATAAAACTATTTATGAATATCTCTTTTAAGCATGGACCATCTAACAAGGAGAGAGTGACCGCATTTGTAGATGCTGCTTCTAAATATATATCTACAGAACCTCCTGCTGTATGTAGTACTGCTGAGGATAAATGCGAGACAAACTGGGGCGGAAAACTTGTACAACATCCTTATAGCGAGGAAATTTCTCAACCAAATGTAACTACTAATGTAAGAAATCTCCAAATTGAAGAGTTATCTCAAGAGAGACAATCAGGATCTGTTATACAAGGGGAACAACTCTCAGATACTGTTTCAGACTCCAGTGTGGAAGTTTCCCATGCAACTCTTCCGCAATATGACTTCAGAATAAGTGCAGAACATCTTGCAGCATTTCTCGCCATATTTAATATTACGAAAAATAAATTGATGGGAGTAGGTTTTTCTATTTAATGGAGCTAATCTGTGATATGATGAATTTTGTGACAGATTTTATTTTTTGCTGCTGTATATTTGAAATTATGGTTTAAATTCCAGTGTCATTTCATAGACAGTACTCCACAGAATTTATAGTCTTGATGATTCATATTAGTGATATAATGATATAGAATTTATGTGCTTGTTAATAAACAAAAATAGGAATAAATGTAGTAGGCAAAAGTAATGAAAGTCTGGTATAGTTTTTAGGGCATGTTAGTAGCTGACTACAGTCCTTGTTTATTTGTTGTAAATGAGTTTATTGTAAAAAGAATATAATGTTTTAAATATAATGATTTTTGAGTTTTATGAAGAAGAATTCTTACTAAATTGAAGATAATGATTATTAACCCTGCTAGAGGCAAATGAGTATACACATGTGACCAGTGAATATAACCATGTGACCATTGCAGTCCATGAATAGGTAGCACATCAGGTCAGTGGTTTTCTGTCTGTACATATATTTTAAAAACATTCCTCAAAATGATCACTTGTTTTGTCCATATTATAGCTGGACAATCCATTGTATGAGATAAATAAACATAAATAATAAAATTATGAGATAATTAGGAAAAAAGAATATATTTTTCCCTTAAAACATTTTGATGAACAGTTTTTAGCTTACATATTTTAGTATGAGTATAAGGAATGGTAAATAAATTATTATCAAGTCTGTAAAAGAAGCCAAACTACGTTGAAATAATGACTTAGTCCAGATATAATTTTGTTATTTAAATTAAAAGGGGTTTTGGGGTTTTGCCATCTTAGTATATAGTTATTATACTCATGGTATATATATAAAGTGAGGGTAAATAGATATAAAATCAGTTAAAAATATAGAATTCAAGAATAAAAAGGGATTTTATGTGTATCTTAATGTATTTTTGTACATAGTTTTGAGATTTACAATTATGAGCTATCATAACATAGGATGTTTTTTTATGAAAAAGAAAAATCAACAATGTATACTCTATCAATAACAATGTACATGTATGTTTTTAAAGTTGTGCAATGATTTTGACTTTAATTAAATGTGGAACTGTCTGTTGATGGTTCAAGGGATGTCAATTTTTATAAAACTGAACAGTTTGCAGTATGCAATGTAGTCCAGTCAGAGTATATGGAGATGTAGACTCACCTGTGACTATACAGGTAATATAAGACATGTTTGCCGCCTTGTGAATAATGTGTTTTTCAAAAATTTATGATGCAAGAAGTTATATTACGCCTTTATTGAAATGAATATATATATTATATATTGTATGCACATGTATAATTATAACTTCCTATGAAATAGGTAATTGTTGTTTATATAAAGTATGATGATATGAGCTGAACTCTGCTTTCGATCTTATTTATCCTTTTAATTATGTAATGTACTTACTGCTTTGAATTTGGAAATGTCCAATCAGCCATTTTTAATTTTTATAAAGTACAAACAATTTTTTGCCAAGTATAAGTGTCAAGTATTATATCATTGCTGTGCAGGTCACCAATGTTATCATATTGAACAACGCCTGTAGTATAAAACAAGGCAGATGATGCTACTAAGTTAGAGCAAGGCCAACTATTACATCAGTATAGAACAAGTTCACATATGCCACTAGTATAGGCCAATGCCAATTACACTGTCAATATAGAACACATGGCCACCTATGCCACTAGTATAGAACAAGGCTTTTGGCAACACTTGTATGAAGCAAGGCCACTTATGTCACTTAATTAGAACAAAGGCCACTTTTGTCAAATGTTTAGAACAAGGCTTATAACAACACTAGTATAAAGCAAGACCACCTATGCCACTAGTTTAGAACAAGGTCAATACTTCCACCTTTACAGAAGAAGGCCAGTATTTGGAATACTGATACAGAAAACTTACAACTAATTGGATTATTACAAATTTAAAGCAGGGCAAGTTCATAACACATAATCATCAAGGTCTAAACTTGTGACATAGAACTACCATTACTCGGAGATTAATTTGTTATCTTTATTTATGTGTTAATTTATACAAGGGTTAAAATTAAATGTCAAACTGTTGATTATGCTTATTATGGATGGAAGATTAAAAGAAAAATAGTGGGATACTTTATTGTTACCTTGTCTTTTTATAGTCATTGTGATTGTTTGCTAATTTTAGTGAGCTATAACCATAGTTGAGTTGGCATTTGGCTTCAAAAATTATTAGTCCAGAGATCACAGTCAGAGGGTTCATACTAATGATATCGTAGAGTATGAATATGTGCTATAAATATGTGTCATCTCGGGTAATAAAACTAGATCACCAGAATAAATCAAAGAGAAGTCACAATTTTGATCTGATCTTCACTAAAACTTTGTCAGACGATCAACCAGAGGAGTATGAAGATTATTTTGGATCACCACATCAAATCATTTTCAATTTGTTTTAGTCCATAAAGAGGACCATGATGGCTAAAAATTGCTGTGTCTATGTGTGCATGTGTTTCAAAATGAAAAATTGTTATATATATATAAATAAAAACACGTTAACTTAAGTTTCCTGTGAATTCAGAAATAGGTTACTGGGTCAGGTTGCTATTATTAAAATAGCACTTGTCTCTCGGGGTAATAGTGCATATTAGAAACCTGAGAACTGAAATATGTGAGAATTAGAACATTAAGTTTTCTTATAGGCATGTTATGCCTCAGAAACAAATAAATTTTACCTTCTTAAGAAAGGAAAAACAATCGTTTGATATTGTTTAAAAAATGGTCTTATGTATATATGATGCTTACAATTTGAAAAAAAATGGCACTAAATGTAAAAGTAGCAAAATGTAAACAAAGAAGTATTTTGACTTCTATACTAAATCACTTTATCTGTATAAATTGCCAAACAGCAACACACACAAAAGATGGTTCAGGTAATTGGCCAATAAGTATCTTTTTGGAAACTATAAGGATATTAAAAATAAAAGGGTGTAGGGAAACAAAAACAAAAGTTTTTCAGAGGCATAATGGGCCTTTAAGTCTATATAGATTACTCTCCCCTGAGAAATATTGTACAAATATGGACTTTTTAGCTGTTGAATATGATGTGATATGTACTGAAAAAATTAAAATTGACCGAGGCGATAGCCGAGGTCAATATTAATTTTTCAGTACATATCACAGCATATTCAACATCTAAAAAGTACATATCTGTTTTATTATATAATTTATAAATAGCTTTTATATGGCTTATCACATCTGCCATTGCATACGACGGAAATCATTATTTTTCAGCTTGTCTACTGTTTCCATAATTTGGCCCTTTCCATTGGCATGCTAATCCCTATTCTTCTTAAAAATGAAAAACGGTAACTAAAATAGACTAATTTGACTCTTATGTACACCCACACAAAGTTTTTTTCAGAATAATAACAACAAATTTGGCGTGATGTCACGTAAAAGTCTCGGGTCTTTAACGGGATTTCCAGAAAATCTATTTTTAGGAAAAAAAACAGTGAATATACTCTGATATTGACCTGTTATTTTTCACAAAAAGTTGCTTGTTAGCCAATCAGGGAAAGGCATTTCAAAGCTATTTATAGATAATATAATTATGCAAAATGTTATTGACCGGGTGATATTCATTCACAGGAAGAAAGATGGAAATTACACAATTTGATATATAAAAGTTTATGTGAGGTATAATATTGACAACTGACAATCAGTGGTTTTCAAAAAATGTTTTCTAAATTGGGAATATATCGATCCTTTTTATACCTGGAAAAGTACTAATAGATTTTTTATGTTTCTCTATATAGGAATTCTAGGGTTTTTGGCATTTATGTATCATTTATGTATCATTTTTCGAGTTTCATTAAGTTTGAACCATTAACTTTACGTTATTTTTAAAAAGCCAAAAAAAAACAAGAAAAAAAAACAGTTGCTCTTCACCATTGTTGCTTCCAATTCTGCCAGGGACTTTGTTCATGTGAGGAAGCTATTCAGCTATCTTATGGAACATCAATGGGGTTACTCAGGTGCCCATTCATGCTGGAAATAATACACAGAAGAGTGCCTGTGGTCTTCCTCCACCAGTAAAGCTATATGACTTTTACTGAGGTTGGTGTAACATAAAAACCCTATCAAGGAAAAAAAAGACACTGGATGGACTTTCAATCGACACAAAGGCTCTCTTGAGCACTATGTTCAATGGGATGACCAATAAGCAATAAAAAATAAAAAGCTCTTTTTACAATTTTTTATTTTTGATCTATTTACATTTTCAGTATAGTTAAAAATTCATAATGTATAAAATACACAAAACATGTTTTTTTTGCACAAATATAAAATGTTTAAATTGTCTTATCACATTTTGGGGTAATTTTCCTGGTCATAGGGCTGAGTGTCATCAAAATATTCATCAATTGGTTGGCTGAAAGCATCATTTCTTCTGAATGGAGTGTCTCCCGTTTTCACACTGCTAACTCCCTGTAGTAATAATAATAATACACAAACAATTATATAATTATGTTTTACTTTCTTTCTTTCTTTCTTTTTTTGGGGGGGGGGGAAAGAATAGTGGTATAATGGGATTGCACTGGTGCAAAATTCATGACTGATATATAAATTAACAAAAAGAAACAACTTTAAAAAACATTTTAAAATTTAACAAATAAGAGTTTGAAACATTTCAAATTACATATATATGCCTATGAACACATTTCTAGTTTTGTGGAACAAAAATATAATTATTTAATGGTCAACCAATGAAAGCCTATGGAATATCCAAACCAATTTAAAAGCATGCATTGATCACACTTACAGTGACTTTTCCTTTATGTTCACTCCAGAAGGTTACAGGCTGTTCTGTTCTGTAGTTGTGATTCTGCAAAATTAATATATACAAGAATATAGATAAGTTAAAATGTAATAAGTTTCATGACATTAAATTATATCTGAAGTGCAATGCAGAGCAGGAGAGGGGAGAAAAGAGTGCAGTAAAGGAGAGGTAGGGTAGAGGGGAGGACAGAAGTGGAGAGGAGTACAGAGCAGATGGTAGACTGAAGCAGAGTGATGTGGAGTCGAGTAGCAAAGCTTAATTAAGTAAGTAAGTAACTCTATAATATTATTTCATGTGAGCAAACAATTTGATTTTCATATCAAAAACAATACCCTTGCACATTTGTAAATTTATGTAACTTGTTACTGGAGAGCACGAAGCAATTGATTCTAAATGCTTAAGACTAAATTTAAGCAAATTGTATCCCAATTTCAATTATATTAAGGATAATATGATGCATTGTTAATAGAAGGTAAGCAAGAAAATATTTTATTAAAGTGACATGTGTATGGCAGTTTACAAAAGTAAGTAAAAGGAAAGAGTTGTAACTCTGCATCAGTAAGAGCTGCATACCTTTGTTGGTTTTGGTGGAACATGTACAAAATCATCATTGAAGAAATCTTTTGCTGTAACTGATTTATAATCCAATGGTTCTGGTTGTGGTGGGTTAATGTCATCAACAAAAACTTCTTGGCTACAATAAGACAATAGAACACTTATAAAGATACTCCTGATTATGTTACTCGGATGCTTGAAGACTAGGTGTGCATTTGATATTTTAATTAATCTACACTAAAACACAATTCTGATGCGACACTTTTTTAATTTTATTCTTTTGAACATTTCAACCAAACTGTTGATTTATATTATAACATGTATATGTATGTCTTAAATATCAACAATTAGATATCGTTATAACCAGATTAAAAATGTAGGTGTTGAATTAGAAGACTATTTTTCACTGCTTATATCAAGTATCCTGGTGATGATGAACAAGTCCAGTTCCTCTCAATGGTATTTTCTTAATCATGAAATAGTTGATAAATCTGATAAAAATCAAGCCAAAAAGTCAAGTTGTGAAGAAAAAAAATAAGAAAATAAAAATTTCAAGTGTTTGAGAATTGAATCTTGTCCAAAAAAGAAGGAAAAACATTGATATATGTGACCAGTAAAATTAAAAAAAAAAATTTCAGGAATTACAAATGTAGTCATTAAAACTTTCAAATAGTGGCCATTAGAAGCCTACAGCTCTGTACTGTAGATGATATTCATTACACATGTTTTAAGACAATAATAATACAAGAAATTGGTGCTTAATAATACAAAGCAATTTCCCCAAGGATACTTAGTCATAGAACGCATGCAACCTTGCAATATGACTGGATTTACCCCTAAAGTGCTGGCTTACACCAAAATATGAAATTCTCATTGAGATTTTTTAAAGCTGAATGATTGACTGTTTCATTCAGTGTTGAAGTAATTCAAGTATATTCGGGAAATTCAGGTTTACGATTATCATTATTATTATTATAAGTACTCACACTGCCTTCTCCATATACATCTGTCTCATCAACTTACTCTTGTTACCTGGAAAAAATATATATCATATAAAATAAAAGTATATCCTATATATTTGTTTTTCCATTGTACTGTTGAATGTATAATAATGCAAGCTGTATAAAAAATATGATGTTGAAAATCCAAATCAAAGAGTACTGTTCTTGGTGACATATACTGAAAAGTAGCATGTCTATGATCATTTGCCACTTTTAATGATCTTTCTATTTCATTATTATTATTTAATTGTTCATAATTACAAAATAACATATCTTATGCTTTAACTATAAATTGTACATAAATGCAAGATAAGATAAACCATTTTCAACATATATTTTCATGTCACTTTCAATATTGTTTAATATGTTCTAAGACACACTCATGAGGTACATTTGTTAGGACTCAAATTCTATCAATTATAATTATACTTAATCCTGTTTATAATGACCAGTCAAAATAGATTTCTTACATCATTTTAACTTGTTATATCAAAAAAGCAATGTCATCATTGGCAGTTCAGATGCCCGTTATTCTTTGCATAAGTTAAAATGGTAGGCACAATAATTATACCTTCAAGTGGTATTCCAGGATGAACTGGTGTTTTATATGATGCTCTTACTGTTGTCTCATTTTCAGGTTTGGCTTCTAAATTTATCGTTAAAACACCAGCATGCCCGTCTTTAAATAGTTCTGCCTTACTTCCTCCTGATGTTTTAACATCTCTAACAGTGTCATAATTTTTCACTGCTCTCTGTAACAAAAAAATATGTTCATTGCAATATTACATAACTTGAGAAATATTTAAGATATTTAGAAAAAACTTACTTCAACAAACAAACATTTATCAAATATATGCGTTAACATGGGATAGATTTTAGCTAGGAATAAACAAGCAGCCCCTAATATTAGCAAGCACGCTTATATGTTTAACTTCCAGTGTTAGAGTCTGTCCCAGGTGTAAAACAAGTTATGTTCAACATAATTCTGTGTCCCCCCCTTAGTTTCATGGTATTAATCTGAACACATGCTCATTGTTAAATGGCCCAGTGCCTCCTATGAAAATGGAAGAATGACTTAAAAATCATTGCCTTTGATCATTTACTTAACTTTTGATAGATTTGCGTACTTTTAAGTAAAAATGCAGCAGTCAATACTTATTATATAATAGTACAATAAGTCAGTGAAACTAAGTCTTTTTAATTCTTATAAATTGATGGGAATTATTAAATAATATCAAGTACTGTGGTACCTACCAGTATGCAAGCTAGGGCACCACCTAGTCTTATATCAAACATCATTTACTTTTTAAATATTGTGGATTTATTTTTGACCATATTTTATATTTATATAGACATCTTGGTACATTATATGTTATTTTGGTTTTGGAGTGATATATGTGGATATATTACCTGCTAAGATTTTATATCACCCGAGCCGTTAGGTACATTATTTAAACACTATATACACATAATGATTGATCACTGTCACCAAAATAAGACATCTATCTATCTATCTCTAATCTAACTAATCTCTATCTAATCTCTTTCTCTATCTCCATCCCCATCCCATCCTATCTATCTTCCTTTTCTGTCAAACCTCTCGCAATGACGTAAACAGTTGCTATAATTAATTCACGCCACTAAGAAAAGTTAAAAAGTGAAATAAAAAAACATGTACATTTATAAAAGATATTACATATATGTAAAAAAAACAGTGGGATATGTGTAGAGTTGTTAAAATTAAAAGCTGTCTGACAGCTAGATCTATATCGTTAGTGATTTTGTACATAATTGACAGCCTACAGCAGCTGTTCAATCAATATGACGAAGATCTAAACGACACCATTCAAGAGGCTCTAGCATCAGCTTAATACTGGATGTATGTCCAAAGTCAGATTTGGCCAAATGCACAGATCCTCTTTAAGCAGATTTTATCTGATCAATTCGAATTTGACTGTTGGGGGATTAGACATCATGCAGATGCAAATTCTAGTTGAATAAGGTTATTTAGTCGGTATAGTTGATTGTCCCGTTATATTAGGTTCAAGGTGTCAAAGACACTCGGTGACCGGACACAAGTGGATCGGATGGAAAATAATGGCAGATATTTTAAATCTATATCGATACTCACCTCTTCTACCCAATTCTCCAACAGACATTTACCATCTGAATTATTAAATCGTATTTCATTTCTTCCCTGGTTTAAAATACTCATGTTGAGTATGCAAATGGTTTCGGAAAATCAAATAAATTGGCCCTTTCTGACGTGAATTGTTCAAGTTCTTTCGATAACAGTTATAGTTTCATTTAGCAGTTGTTGTTGTTGTTCGCACTGTTTACACCGGAAGCTCGTTACACCGTAGCAACAAAGAAGGGATCGCTATTGTACGGCGGGTAGGACATTTTCTACGTATACGAATATCATAAACGCGCTGGCAAGAAACTAAAACATGTACTACTCTTAACACCAACCGTTATAGTATTTTGGAAAGTCTTCCTCTAGAAACTCAAGTTTGCATTCTCCTAGTAATGGCTATATATTTTCTTACCAATTCATATCTTGATTTTAATGTTGAAACGCGTTAGTTTTTGAATGAAATTATCAATGATTATTCAGATTTAAATATTCAAAATGATACAAATAAAATCTTAATTATCGTAATTTCTATGGACAATATAGATGTAAACATATCAAGGGCTAACGCTACCGTAGCCCAACAAATTGTGCGCCAGGGTATTTTATGATGTAGACGATGGTTGCCCTTAAAAATGTAATATCAGTGAGAAATCTTGCAGTCAAAATATAGAAACTAACGTGTATGTGGCGATTTTGCGCGTCTTTTTTATTTATTTTTTTAGAACATATAACCACAGAGCTATATTTAAATCTGTTATAAATTTAAAGTCTCTGATATAACCTTTTCATGAAACAACAATATTGATATATCGGCTCAAAATTTAGAGAGTTAAGTTAATAAAAAAATACTTTTTAAAAGGAAACAAAATGATCGTGTGATGTGGATATACTGTATTAGAGCAATTAAGCTACACTGTATGTTCTATTAGCATAAAGATTCAAATTGAAATTGTTTTGATTGTGTTTTAACAATTGATATATCGGCTAAAAATTTACCACTCGATGAAAATAAATCCTGTATTCCTGTATTTATAGAAAAAAATCTTGAATTTTCTGCTATTTATATACACTTTTCTCTTTTTTGACATTCTGTTTACGAGGAATGGTCTAGTAATATACAGAAGCCACAATTTCAAAAGAACATTATTTATTACAAGTCCATATAAAACATCAGCTTTCTTTTTAAACATTGCTTTGTCCACTAGCTGTCCCATTTTTGTATATGTTTTATTTAGCAATACCTTTCTTTGCATTAAGTAAAACCTTATATAATTAATAAAACTTATATAAATGGCATAGGTTGGTTTGACATAAATTAACTACATCGCCAGTAATGAGCAAATATTTATAAACACTAGACGTTGTATAACAATGCGGAAGTTATTCATCCTCTTAGACTTTTTTCTCCAAGAAACAAGAATTATAACAATTAAAACCAAAGCACAGAAGGCGCTGAATTGGTTTGGGTCTCAGAATGTCAGAAAGGTGAAGGTTGTGAGATTATTAACCAATTTGTTTGTAAAGTGTCACCAAATTCTGTTTCCAGTGTTATAACTATAGTAAATTGGCTATAAGACTAATTGTAACACTGTTATTCAATTCAATGTTTATTTGGCTAATTCAATAGAGTTTGTAACCCTTATTAATTTCGATATATTTTTTTCACGGTAAACCTGTTGTTTAACGTTGAAGTAATAATCATGGAGCTGAATATAAGCATGTATATCTATAGGAAGTACACAATAAATGTATTTATGAATCTTCGACCAATCGGGAACTATTTTTTCGTTACGAAAATTAATGCGCCTGTCATTTGACAATCTTTACGCAGTGATCTCCCCTTAATTTTTCGGCGTTAATGTACATATAAAGGGAAGTAACCGCTTCGAGGAGTTTGGACTACTTTCAGCATTTGCAAATAAGAACATCAGGGTCTGAAATTTCGCTACCATTATTTGTTTGGTCTGACGACCCAAACAAATAAAAACTCACTACAAATAATAGTAAAAATAGGTTCAAAGTAAGATTACAAATAGCAGATAATGTTGGAACATGTCTTAATTGAGTGAATTAATCTAAATTGCGCTCATTTTTGTATGTTTTTATTGTGATATAGTGTCAGGGTTTTGAGGAAAGATATACAGTCTGTAACTAAGCACAAAAGGGAGAGCACCAGGTTTGTAATCCTTCGGTTTCCTGGCAGCACGCCTCCATATTCATGTTAATTTTCATGAACATTTTGGAAATGTATTTAGAAGTAAACTACATACATGTATATTGTGAGGTGAACAAATAAAGCAATTTACATATTGCAATCGGCACTTACATTCCAAGAAAATTACCAAAATGTGGTCAACATATGCAAAAACAGCCCTTACTGCGTTAGTAACGCAGTAGAAATATGATGATAAAATACTGAAAAAATCAGTCTTAAACCGCACATAACATGTAGTGTATAACTTGGAACTTAAATGTTTTTACCTTTCCTAAAATTTAAGTACATTTTTCTCAATATTGATTTTCTTGAAATATTTTGGTTCATATGGATGCGTGCAACTTTAATGATGGCCTTACTAAATGGACTAACAACCGGGAGGGTTATGAATCAAATAAGTTAAAACACAGTAACATATGTTTAACGTTTTTAATCATTAATATAATGAATTTTAATTCAAAGTTTTTATGAAATGCAGTCACAGTCAACTTCCTTAATCACAATAAAATGTATAAGACAGATGTTAATATAACAAAACTATATACAAAACATTTATGAAATGCTTAATAACTAACTAACTTTATCATCTAGCACAATCAGATATCGCATGTGTGACATGAACGTTATGATATTTTCTTCTAAACATGAATATGTAAATTGATATGTAATGTAATATGTAATATAATAATAATGCAGCACAAAGCAATATGTACATGATAGATACAATAGGTCACTGACAAACAAGAATATAATTATTAACTCAAATTATTATACATTTCAAATTTCAAAGTGTTCTCCGTGACGTAACATTTTCAAACTCTTCGGAATCGTCGAAGTGCTGTACAATGCCATGAGGATTTGGCGTCGAACTTTCACGCTAGAACAGGCTTAATCAGTAGCTCAACTGTTTATTTTAAACGCTGTATGAGACACGAGACAATGGTTTATCTCAATTTTCAGAATTATTAGCAGAGATCATACATAGCAGATATTTTTTTACTGATCAAATAATTTGTATATAGTTTTTAGAATAACCTTTAATCCGTCACTTCTTTTCATATCAGGTTTTGTTGTGTAATATAAACGTTATTAGAACATAGTAAACAGAGAGAAACTACCATAAATCATATAATGTCCACACATGCAACATTTTAAGTTCTGATCATCATCTTGGACAGCAGAAATGATTATTATATGTTGCAGTCCACTTCTCTCCAGGCCGTCACGGGCTTGCTAAGATCAACATCTTTCATGGATATTTTCCATTCATGTATAACCCTAAGCCGACCGAAAAACCCTATCTTTTTGTAAATTCCAACTCCTATATGAGCCTGTGTGAGATCCTGGTTTGATATGCCCCGGAAATACCGACTGTACTTGTTCGATGCTGATTTTTCACCATTACACACTTGAACCTGTTGCCTCTGCACTTTGCTGGGTAATATACTCATCTTTGCAACGAGATTTTTCGACTTCGCACCTCCAGCCTCATCGGAAAATCTCCCGAGCCTTTTTACATCCACCTTAAGCTTTTTGCTAAGCGTCATATATTCTAATCGCACCGCAAACTTTACCCTCGCTGTTTCTAGACTAGCTCTATCCACTTGCATGGATCCTTGTTGCGACACACCATTGCTTATCAGCATGGTTTGTATTCCCGTTTTGTGATTTTTATTTTCATTTTCCTTTTTCAGAGACTGTCTTTTATTGCTAGTATCCACCCTTGTTTTATGTTCATCGAGCGATGTTGAAAAGTTGTCAATATCTTCAAATGGGTCCAAAAAGGATTTCTTATGCATTCTGTCATATGGGTTAATGGAGGGTTTCCTATGCATTCTGTCATAGTATGTATCGAAATAGCTGTTCATGCCCTTTACAAAACCTGTTGACGACGACGACTGTACTCTTCTCTTTCCAAAATTGTCCTTTTCTGTCAATGGAATTGACTTTGTACAATTTTCCGTGCGGTTTTCTGCGCGATGAATCAGATCACCGATCGACAGACGTACTGATTGAAGAGTTTTTGAAGTTTTTTGGGAGAAAATATCGCTGTCATAAAATGTTGTACACGTTGAAGATCTGGGTAAATTCACGCAAGTGTAGTCTGCTTTTTTCTTGCAATCTCTAGTCCATTCCTCTTCACATATATTCCTGTTCATTTCGTTAAATCTCGATTTGCTTTGATACATATTGTCGTTTCCTTGCCTGATATCTAAATGCGCACAAATACCCACGGATCTTCATAAATACGGTCTTAAAGAACTTGCTAATAAATAGAACGCACCTCAGAAATTTGTTGTGATAATGTTTTGAGCATGACCTGGACTGATATTTGCTTGAATGTTTATCACTGTACCGGTATCTTTCTATGAAAAATGTCAAAAAATGTTACAAACAAAAGCCACCACCAAAGAGAAGGGACACTGGACAGGCAAACACATCGCAGGAAGAGCATTGTCATAAAAGGGTTTCTAAGAAAACACTATTTTCTGGTTCAAAATTTGAATATAATTTCATATTTGACCCGTCATAAGCAAATCAAGGTGATTCTTAAATTAGACTGATACCACAGTGATAGAAATAGACTGATACCAGAGCCCCGACTATGAATCAAATCTGTTCACCAATGGAGAGTCAACCAAAATAATTTATGTGGAACAATGCAGATGTATTCACAATGTATTCACATTTAAAGGACATTTTTGTAAAGAACACTTCAAACGTTTGAAAGGGAATCACATATAAAGAATGTATGCGATGTTTCCGCGATAAATGCTTCAATGGGTTATGAATACAATGTATAGATAATCGGTATGGAATTCTACACTGCATCTTCTGAAAAATAATTCTACACTACAGTTTCTGAGGAATTTCTGAGGAATAATTCTACACAACAGTTTCTGAGAAATAATTCTACACTAGTTTCTGAGAAACAATTCTACACTACAGTTCTGAGGAATAATTCTACACTACAGTTTCTGAGAAATAATTCTACACTACAGT